TGTATTATATAAATATTACCCATCTTACGTATTATAAATAATTTTATCGATGTTCAAAATATGAACGAATTGTTCATTATTATCCTTTTAATATTTATGTAGTTAATTCGAACAGTCAATCACATAAATAAAGGTTCATACATCTAATATGATGTATATACGAAATTTGAGTAAACACAAAAAAATGTACAATATCATCGAACTGTTATGTTTACATGTAGACACGCAATATCCTTGAATCAATTCACGTGCACAGCACGTTTCTAAAATAAAATGGGAAAAAAGAATAAACCTTTACCTCTCTCGAAACTGAATAACAAATTTATAGGACATAGTGATATATAGACCTTTGTGACAGACATCGTATATGTTAATTTTTATGTATACATTTTCAAATATTTGTTGATATTATGTCTCCGTTATATAATAATCATATTGCATAAGATTATATGAATAAATTAGGCTCAGTATGAGAAATTATTAAAATATATTATGTATTCTCATATATTGAGAAAAGAATACTTATATGTATATAAAATAATATACATATATACACTGAAAAATATTTCCATATATGGAAGATTACAGATTATGTAATTTCATATAAAATATATTCTCTCTTATATATTTATTTTCAGGTTAAAAATATTGTACTGAACATGGAATTACATATATGAAATATATAGTAATGTCTAAATGTTATAAAATAAAGTTTTAATAAAGTAAAAATACTAACAATATTAAGAATATATTAAAAATACTAAATTTAAAATTACAAGTGGTTTTTGCATAAAAATAATAATTTTATGTATATTTTATATCAATATGTATTTATTTCTATTTAAAAAAAAGAAAAAATTAGTGATAATTAAGTAAGTTTTTCAGTTTTGAACAAGTACATTAAAAAAGTTTGTTAAATTAACAAATATTTAGTTCAATACATTCAAATGAATCATTTATTTGAAACAAATAAATATTTATTTGTTTGGAAAAAGATTTTTCTATATCAAATAAATATTTTTTATATCAAGTATTTATTTATTTCAAATAAATTATTCATTTGAACGTATCGAACTAAATTTTTTTATATCAAATAAGTATTTTTTATATCAAATATTTATGTATTTCAAATAAATGATTCATTTGAACGTATTGAACTAAATATTTGTTAATTTAACAAACTTTCTTCAGTGTAATTTCCATGTATAAAAATACATAAATTTTTTTCAGTGTCTTAATATATAGAAACAAAAGATATTAAAATTTCTTTGAACATGAAAGATTAATAGAATGGAAAATCGAAGCGTCGTTGAGAGACGTACTTCGACCAAGGATAAGTTGCAGGTAATAAACAGCGTTCAACCTCTCGTCGCAAGGAAAGAAACATGCTATACGAACGGCGAAGCAACGAGGGAAGGTCGTAAGCGTGTAAAGCGCGATCTTACGCGCGGTATGCCTTAAGCGGGTAAGTAGGTGTACGATAACGTTACGCGGAGGAGACAAGTCAGGTATATAGGGTGGCGCGGATCGATGCAACGCGCGGAGTCGCGGACTCGAAGGCGAGAATTCGCAAGCCGGAAGCGCGAGCTTGCGCGATTTTTTATCGATAATAATAACAAGCGCGTATGAAATTTTGATAAGAGAAAAACTCGGGCAAGAAGATATTGCAAGATACGATAAGAATAAGTTAGAAAGCCGTCATCGTATTACATCATTGCTTTCTCGTGAAATACAGAAAGTATGACAAGTTTGGCTAATAATGATAAAAATCTGACTTTTGAGTCTGTCTCGGAGCTTTTCCTGAAAAGCTTTGGCTCGGAGATGGAACACATATATTGTTATGATTACAATCTTCGGCGCACATTTCTCGTTCTGGAGAACAGTATTCTCGCGCGGATTCGACAAATTTGCTTTCCGAGAACGATAAATGACTCGAATGAATCTCTTTTGTCGACTTTTTTTTCCCTGATAAGCTCCGGCTTTTCGCGCGAGATCGGAAGTTAAAAACGGCTCTTTATTGGTGCAGTTGGAAACTGTCGCATTGATTAATATCTTTTGATATAGTTTAACTTTAATTCTCTGTTTTGGCCAGATAATGATCGTTATACGGATAATAATAGACAATAATGTAGTTGATGTAATAATAACAACTGATGTTGAGTCAAAGAGTAGAATCGAGTTTTTAATAATGATTATAAATGTACGCAAAACGAAATGCAAATTTAAAGTTCTCTTTTTTTGCGAGAAGGATCAAAGGATAAGTCTTTATTATGTGTGGGAACGAGAATGTATAGTCTTCGTTCATCATTCTAAAAAACAGCAGCTCTCGCAAATCAAAAGTTTCAGTTTCTTTGAGGAAATAAATAATGAGAATTCATGCTGAATTTTCAAGAAGCTTTGTTTTTGTTTTGCGAGAAATTGAAGGAAAAATACGAGTCTCACAATTATTAAACGTATAGAAGGAATAAAAGTATACAATATGATTATGAGAAATTTTATGAGTTTCTCTGATTAATATTTACCACAATAAAAATATTAATACGTACATACTGAAATTAATCACATATTTTATATCTTATTGTGGTAGATATTAATATTTTTTATTGTGATAATAACTCTTATAAAATTCTTCCAATACCATATCGTCCCACAATTATAATGATTTTCAGGGTAAATTTCAAAAGAAAAAATTCTGTGTATATATATAAAAACTTCCTTCTCTTTGTTTAAAGTTTAAATATATCTCTCTGATTAATATTTACCACAATAAAAAATATTAATATGTACATAGTAAATTTTGTAAAATTAATCAAACATATTTTATATCTTATTGTGATACATATTAATATTTTTTGTGATAATAATTCTTATAAAATTCTTCCAATACCATATTGCTCTACAATTACATGATTTTCAAGATAAAAAAAGATTTCAAAAAAAAATTCTCTCTGTGTATATAACAACTTCCTTCTCTCTGTTTAAATATAGAAATTCGGCGTTAAATAATACTTGAATATAGAACTTTTCGCGAAAGGAACTTATGTCATTCGCGAATTTATAGATGGATTTTCATTGTTGAACCATCAAGAACATACACCCAAAAAAAAAAAAATTGTGTTGACTTGATTAAATCTTTCAACTAAATATTATTTTGTTAATTAAATATATAAAAATATTTAAATATAACATTTTATTAAATACAACATATTAAATCTAACAAAATATATATTTGACTTAAAAATACTAATATATCAATTAATAAAAATAGTAATTTTTAGAACGAATTATTACGTCGTATATGATCCTCATTTCACGTCCTAGGGACAGCGTCCTTGTTTTTGTTATGCCAGAGAGCCTCGTTATTCTTTTTTATTTTTTTTTCTTTTTTTTACAGAGACAGTAGCGGACACAAAAAGAGTTCGTGGCCTGCGAAAACGTCCAGCCTAAAAAGTGATCTCTCGGACGTTTCGCGTAACCGAAATATGGGGGAGAAAATTGATGGAAAACAAAAAAAAAGGGGGATTTCTTTTCCGATCGAAGTGAAATAAAATCGAGATAAAATCTTTTCATCACAGAGAATTATCTAACACGGTCATCGGAATTTTACATATCAGGTTCAGGGTTCAGGTATACATTTATCTCTCTACCTTTCCTCTCTTCGAAGGCGACTCAGTTTTATCTTCAGTAGAGGGAAACGTACGATTATACAAGCGCATAAGGAGGACGGATTATTCGAAGAGGGCCAGAACGTCGCGATAAAACGCGAAACGTCTTCTCTCTCTCTCCCTCTCTCTCTCTCCTTCGTTCCGACATCTCTCGCGCGCTCGTTGATCGATGACCGGCTGCACACTTCACGTCCCTCTCTCTCTCTCTCTCTCTCTCTCGCGGAATCGTTCCGCTCGCGAGGAAAAACGTAACGCGAGACATGACGGCGGCGCCGACGATAAGAGAGAGAAGGGACGATAGGTAGAGACGAAGAGGAAAAAAAAAAAAAGTTACTCACCACCGATACTCAGGGTTCTCCATCGGGTCTTCCGCTTGGAACCCTTCTTGCCCATCTCTCGCAGTCGCCACTATCGTCTTCTCTTCCGCCTCCCTCGACAACCCACGTTAAGTCTCTCTCTCTCTCTGTTGCTCTTCTTTTAAGACGGGAACGAGGACACTCGACGGTGGATCGAGATCGTCATCGCGCACGGTGGATCCCCTCGATATTTTCCTACCTCGGCGGTAGCATCGCGACAGACGTAGACGTAATCCACGACGGAATAATCCCGGACGATATATATATATTTTTTTAACGAGATCCTCGCGCTCTGTTATTTTATTCTACGACTGACAGCGAACTGCATAGATAATAACTCTGACTTCTCTCTCTCTCTTCGTGAAAAGCCCTCGATTCGCGAACTCGACGGGACGATTCTAATACGTAATCCACCCTGCTCGAACGACGACCGCACACTGCGACGACCCCACCTCGCCCCTCCCTCGGAGACATCTACTACCCATCGCGCACTCTCTCTCTCCGTCACTCTTTCTTATCACTCCCCCTTCTTCTGTCGTCGCTACGGCTCGTACTTTTTCGTCCGCGTTCCTCTTCTGCACCTTACCGCACCGCGGAGAGCGAAACAAATGCTGCGCGTTCGCGACCGCGAGTGAACGCGTGCAGGAGGGTGTAGATGAACTGCACCTCTCGGATCTGTATGCGCGCGCGCCCTCGCGCTCGACCGGCCGTTCCGATTCGCGCGGATTATCGGAGGATTTTCGCGCGAGAACGAATCGTTCCGAGAATCGCGACCGCGCCGCGTCATCTCGCGAGCGAATTCGCGTCAAGTGTCACGCGAATCGTATAAACGTGTCGCCGAGTACGCGATCGCGAATTTGCACCGCGAGGAATTCGAATGGTTCTCTTCGAAACGCCGCGCGCATGCGCGCTTACGCGTCACCGAGCGTTGCCCGGCAACGGTTGTCAAGGGCGACCGATTGAACCGTCTCGCGCCGTTTCCCGCCATTTTCCTTTGGAAGCCCCCGATGGGAGGTGGTGTCGTTTCGCGATGAGGCGCTTTGCGTTTTCAGGTAAAGTTTGTTGAGGTCGTCGATTTAAAATATAATGTAGGAGTACTAATACTAATGTGAGAGGCTATAATAAAAATTTTGTATTATATAATTTAAATCTGTACCTCACGACAGACGATAAATTTGTATGTTTTTCAACGTCGTTTTGTATATATACATTTTGCACACGTGTAACATAATTTTGAATTTGTTTTTCGTATCTTCTCTTTAATCTTGTGCAGATTGATATGGGATTTATTCTGTGTTAAAATAATATTGAATATAAATTAATAGACGAAATTGATGTCAATGTAATCGAACTAAATTTTTATTATATTATGTCGTATATGTTTTTACTGACAATTTTCGTAATATAGCAATAAAAAATATATTAACAATAAAATATATATTAAAATAAAATATATATAACGATAAAATATATATATTAAAATAAAGCAAGAGATTTTCGTATATATTTAGACATCTAATTGCATCAATTGAACTTTTGAGGTTATTGTATTATATATATGTAATGTAAAAGTTAAATTACGAAATTAGTTCAATATTTTGCAATATGTAAAAAATAAAACATCTTATTGTTGGTGACCATTAGAAAACACTCGGTTTTATATGATTTATTCATGACGGAATGTTGTGACTGATATAACACGTGTGTGTGAATTACAGGTTAAGTCGTTGACGTTTGCGCCTGATAAAGTAAGAACACAAAAATGCTCAAGATATTGTCACTTCACGATTTCGAGTGTCCTGTTTTGGACGATACGGCAGCTGTCGGTTTGATTGACAGTATTGTACATTATTGCACCTATGACAAGCTGCATGATGAGATGCAACCTTTCTCCAAGTATCTGCGTGGATATCCCGAGGTTTCCGTCACGCAAGAGATCCTGGCTACCCGTGAATCTGCGCGAGCGGTCAGCGCTAGAGAATTATTCCTGCCCGTTCACGATAGCGTCTTCAAAAAGCTTGCAAATGTATGGAGAGAAAAAGGATTGTCCGAAGCTATTCGTTTCGCTGCAGCTGCAAATCCAGAACAGATCACAAATGTTATGCATTGGGTGGCAACAAGGTATAATATTCAGATATCAGTATAATATTATGTATATATTGCTTGTTTCTTTACAGATTTAATATTGACTCTTATCGAAAAATATGTAACAATTTCAGATTGAATTGGACGTTAGACTTGATGGAAAGAGGAATTTATCAGAGAGATGTGTTACCAACATCAGGAGCAGGATCTGTTGCGGATATTGTTGCTACACGAGATTGGAATACATCATTGGTAAGATAATACAATTAAGAATCAATTAGAAATGGACAAATTTTGAGTATTGAAATATTTCTACGGATGATAGATTAGGTGTCTGTCTTGGCATCCGCACTGTGCACGTTTAGCAGTGGCTACGAGGGACGATCGAATTCGCATTTATTCGCAAGATCTACTAGGTGTACCAGTACTGAGACATAGTGCGCAAAAGTCAGTTTGCTGCTTAAGTTGGAGACCATATGCCGGCCGTGAATTAGCAGCTGCATGTTATTCTGGAGTATTAATTTGGACAATAGAGTTGGGAGCAGCCAGTAATTTACTTAGCCATGCGATACTTTTAAAGCGAAGAAATCACGTACCTGTTACAAGTGTTGTGTGGCATTCACAAGTAAATTTGATTTATTTTATTTTTTCTTGATATTGTAGGAATTATAATTTGTAAGATAATATTATATAAAGTGTTTTTTCTTAGGGTGGTTTATTGGCATCTTGCTCGCCAACAGATTTAAACATAATAATTTGGGACGTTTCAAAGGAAGACGGGGTTCCTTTGAAACGTGTTGGTGGAGGTGGAATATGCTTTATACAATGGTCACCTTGCGGTTCACGATTGTTGTCTGCTTCATGTAGGAATGTTTTTAGGTAATATTTTAATTACTTTTTAATTTTTGTTCATTTTTTATACGATGACTTGCTCAATATTCAAATAATTGTACATGTAAATAAAAAAGTTGGTATTTAATTTTAGAGTTTGGAATACTGGTGTTCCAACGCCATGGCATGGAGAAAGATGGATAGTTCCTCATGGTCGTGTAGTAACTGCATGCTTTGGTCCCAATTTAACATTACTCTTTGCTACTACAGAAGATCCTGCTACGATATTTTCATTGCCATTGCAAGATAATATATTTGATGTTAAAAAAGCAACTAATAATGATGTAAAGATAGCTATGCGTCTAATTGATTTAACGAAAGTCAATTTCTCATGGGATGATAATGATTACATCACAGTGGGAGGCAGAATAGTTTCCATGGAATGGGATCCAACAGGAAAATATCTTGCTATTCTATTCCAGGTATGTAATAACATGATTAAATAAATCTGTTCGATTTAGTTGCATAGTTCGATTTTTGTATGCATAGAGTTTAGAGAAAAAAAGAAAAAATAAAATGAACAAAATAAAGAAATGTAACTGAAACGAACAGATGTGATATTATAAAAATTAAATTATGAAATGCTAGATGCTAATGCAATTTGTTTTTTTTCTAAAATATAGGATAGTCCAGTTATTGCCTTAGTTAAAACAAGTGTAAGTAAAATATCGCGAGTAGTGGAAGTGCAACCAAGCTGTCTTATCAAAGGGTTTCCTGGTGAGGTACCAAATTGTATTAATTTTTATGAAAAACGTTCATCGTGGCTTTGTTTAACAATAGCTTGGAACAGTGGACGCGTGCAACATTTTCCGATTGTTGAAAATGAGTCTAAAGTTGACATTACCACACATTCTACACTATTGTCTCAATCTATGAGAACAAATGGCTCATATAATATTTGTGGTTATAGGCAATAGTGAATTGTTATTTCTATAATATTGATGAGATAATAAGTACGATTTTCTAATTTTTCAAATTCGTAAATGTACAAAAAAAATGTTTTTGATAAAATCTATTTATAAAAAGAAAAACATTATTAATATAATCAACAATGTCAAATAGTCATCTGTTGCAAATTTTTATTACATACGTGTGTATATGTGTGTGTGTATGGATCAAGCTTATGTAATGCTTGTTTCGAAGTTTGCCTGTTACTGCATAGTAGACAAAAAAAAACGAATGGGTGGTCCGCCATTAGACTCTTTCTAATGGACTATGTTTGTAACGTATGAAACATAAAAAAACACAACGTATGCTCTCGGTTTGGTACCTAATTATACGAAGTCACATGCAGAGCGCGCGTCTTTCTATTTTTACATCGCTTGACCGAATGCTAAACGTTTGCCGACACGTATGTATGTATATGTACATGTGGTGTATGCTATTTTCAATACTCTATATATTATCCGTTTTACGATATGGTTTGGTATATATGGATGCGAACAGTTGAACATTTATTCGAAGTTTTCATTAGATTAATTTGACCTAAGTATATCATTTGTAAATATTTTTCTTTTTTGAGAGAGAAATAGGAAATGCTCCTTTCACATATATACATACATACTTTATGCAATATTTGTTAAATTTAAACATTTGTAAATCTTTAAAGGCAATTGTTATATTAGCATATATCTGTACGATTTTCTATCACGCGAACAGATTTATTATTTAATTATTTAATTAATTACTTAAAAGATAATATTTGTTGAACAGTCTACAAATATAATTATACATGTATAACAGGTTGAGCATTTTTTAAGTACATTTTACTTTGTAAGTTATACAATATGTTTTTCCAAGATTAAAATATTATTTTGAAAAATCTCTATAGATATCTTACAACTTTGAAAATTTTGAATTTATTTTACTGATTTTCTTTTCTTTTCCAAGTATAGAAAAACATACAGAAATAATATGCTACACAATGTATTAGTATTAAATATCAAAACAATAAGAGGATTTTAGAATAATGTACATAAGTATAATGTTTATTCGTGCAAATTTATTAGAAATATTGAGGTATAATCGCTTCACGAAGATCATGCGAAAGGGGTGATTAATCGTTTTTGTACGAGGCGCGATTAAACGCGTTCAAAATGGTTTTTTTTTATACGTTTCGCTGTTATTGCATCCGTATGGAGAAAGAACATGATCGGTATCCTTTTTACAGTATATTTATTTTAAGGGCGGTCGAGCCGCGCGTACACACATGCGGCGGCTATGGTACGAGCGAAGTTGACAGGTGCCCGAGTAAAAAAGCAGGATCGTACGAGCGGGCATAGTATGTATATAATGTAAGCATAGAGGGCTGGCAGACCACATGTGCCACTCTATCACTTATCTACCCGTAATATGACATACAACTCGTCCAATGCAAGATGCACCAAGGCTTATATATATACGTACTTGTGCATATGCACACGCAATAATTTTCCGCGTAAAGGGAGGAGCGAGGATGAACAAGAACGAGTCGTGCATCTTTTTCATTTAAAGATTAATTTAATTTTGAATATATTTATAACTAACTCTAGACACGTTGCTTATAATTATATTGAAAGGTCATCGTCCTGCTAATGTCATTAGAATATACAGTGACTTCTTATAATTTTCAAAGTATTAAGCAATTAAAATTAAAAAAAAAGAGTGCTATAAGGGCCATTTGAGAGAATCGATAGATAAGAAATTAAATTGTAATGTGAAAAAAATATTAAAAATATAAAGATATGAAATGAATATATTTCTTTTTCAAATATATTTTTGAAAATGATGGCGAGCTAAGATACATTGATGTGTGTGAATTGTTATAAAAATTAAAAAGAGTGAAAAGATGGGGTGTATCATGAGGTGAGAAGATACGTGTAATAACGGTAGCCAATGTAATAGGAGAACAAGGAGTGAACGACTTGTGTCCTCATGTGGTGCATAGAAGCTGTTGTTAATAAGTGACGCGTGTGTGGCAGCTGGTTTTACATTTTTTTGCTTTGCACCCGATTCTTAGGGTTCGAGCGACGAAAGATCGTCTTGAGTTTTCTCCTCTCTCTTTCATCCTTTCTCCTTCTTTTGTCTCTCTTCTTTATACCATGTTTATACCGTCTTGACTTTATTAATTAAATACGAGTAGATTTTTCATATTTTTTATAGAGTATTTCTCGAGCATAAACAGAACTATAAGGAACGATTATTTTTTGTAGGTTTCTTTTATTGAAGAAATTAAAAATAATATAATTATTCTCTTTATTTTGTATAATAATATACAGTTTTTGTTTCAGTTATATTCATCATTTTGTCCAATAATGTCCAATCTAAGATAAAAAGAAAGAGTGCTTTATCTGCAATGTCACGGTTTAAATGTCACCGAGCGTCATCAGTCAAGTTATGAGTGACCGGTTTGCAATGACAGCGTAAGAAGACAATTCCGGAGACTTCAAGGAGGCTTGAAAATTGCTCCAGGGGCATCGAACGCGCGCCAGCAGATGTTGATCGCGCCCGCCACCACCCTCGGGGCTCGAAGGGACCAGCGAGGGACCCCCGGTGTCGCGCAACGACAAGTGTAACGTCAGGCAAGCAAGAGGGACTCAGGGAGATTCAGGGGGACTCACGACTTGGCGCGATGCAGCCACGCGAGTGGGCGGCGCGATATTCCCTCTTGCGCCTTGTCGTACCCTCGCGCGTTTTTTTATAATATTCCCTCCGTTTGCGCCTCCTTTTCCAAGGAGAGGAGCGATTTCGAAGGGCTTCTTCGCCGTGGAGGAGGGGAAAAAATCTTGGTCCTCTTCGGTCCCGAGAGATTCCTTAGCGGAGGAAAGCGTTGTCTCTCGCGCAGCTGATAGTCTTCGGCGAGACGTTAGTGCGAAAGCGTCAACCTTCCCCCTTATCGGTTTCGGAAGAAATATTGTTTTGCTCATTTCGTTCACGTTGTTTCTTCAGATTAATTGTTTGTCGCGTGCGTGCGTGCATCGCAAAGGAGTATAAAGAGCGGAAAAGACCGACGCGATAAGCGGGTCCGCGATCGACGTGTACATGTTGATACGTTGATATCGAAGTAAGCCGCTTCTCTGACGTTATTCTCCAATTTTACTATCATCGACCGGAGGAAAGTGAGGCTATCACATAATCGAAGATATATTTCTCTGTCTTTGTGGTCACGATAGTTTAATAGAACGCGTGGGATTAACTCGCTACTAATGAGAGAAGTCGTAACATCTTGGAGCGATTATTCTGCGTTTTCTTGATGACGAAAGAAAGACCCAAGATTTCATTATATTGTGCTCTGTGTCTGACACCTCATTTTCCTCTGGTGATTAAATCGAATTAAGGGCTAGGATTGCTAAAAAAAAGTTGATTTTATAAAAATTGAAAGTCAGGAAAGATGTTATTTTTAATTCGCGCAATTGACCAAAAATCGAATAGTCACTCCTTTTAGTCTTGTTTAAAGATTGAAAGTGTTTTTTATAACAATGTTGTAAGTGTGTTGTTAGTTTGATGACTGCAGTGACTTTTAAAGATATGATATACAGTAAGTTGTATGTAAGTACTCAAGATTCTATCTTTGCAGAATCTGCTTAGATTTAGCCAAAATAGCTTTCACTTGTTTTTATAGACGATGATCGATTCTCATTTTATCTTTTTGACCTTCATATCTTCTTCGTATAGTTAATAGATTATTTACATAGCGCTTAATTAAAAAATAGTATTTGTTTAATTATAATGTGCATTTTTTTGCTACAATTTAATTCTCATTGTTAAATATAAATTACATGTTTTGATCTATCAAAGATTACATAAACGCACATACGATTACTTATCAAGTTAAGATTTAAGTCATGACACGTTAAAACTATTACGTGATCATTTGCATTCATCTGCTTCCGCGAAGCAGACGAATCTTTGCCTAGATATAAATATATAAAAAAGGGGTTTCCGTAAGAAGAGAGTAGCGAAAAATAATAATATAAAGAAGTGACGCACTCGCGAGAAACCGCGTGACAATTCACCAATACTGCTGATCGACAACTCATAGAAATCTCATCCCGAAGTATCATCATTATCGTTATCTGTCGCGGTGTCTTTGCTGGGTTTCTGTTATCTCACTCGCTCAGTGAGTGCTCCCGAGAGAGATAGACGAGCAAAGAGCACAGATATATTATGTATAGAGTGGGATAATTCCAAGAGAGCGCGTCTCTTGTTGACTTTCTCAATCCTCCAAGCACGCGCGCGTGTGTTACGTTACAAAATCCTCGCGGTTTCGCAATTTAATCTTACTGCAATTAAATGTACGTATCGCTATGCTTGACGACAGGCTGCCGGTCGCATCGAGCCCGGACCGACGAGCACGAGGGAAGAGAGGATGCACCTCGAGGATTATCACGGCGAGAGAAGCGAGGAGGACGATCATCCTCGACGTCCCATATCCGGCCTGGACCAGGACGACTTCATCGACGACAGCTCGCTGCCTGATATGGCGTCCTTGGTGACCATGACCGGTATAAGCATCGACGACGCACAGCCTCATTGCTGGATCACGCAAATGGAGAACGGTACCACCCTCTCTTCTCCGTTGGACCCACAGGAGTATCTCGACTGGGACCAGGTGCCCGTTGTCTTTCAGTATCCCTCCCAGTATCCCAACACCGGAAGCGGATCACCCGGGAGCACCTGCAGCGAAGCGACCACGCCAACCTGGAGCAACGCGCTGACGACGACGGATCACGGCGAGGATCATAAATCAGATTGTCAGAAGCTACCGTCGATGGGCTCGGCCTTCTCCTTCTCGCGCACCTTCTGCAACGCGATCTACCCGGAATACGGAACGGAGTCGCATAGCGGTCATCAGGATTATCAAGAGGACTGCCAGGAGGACGTGGTGTCGTTGCTGATGAGTATACAGAACGATATCGCCGCTCAAAACTACGGGTCTCCCTCCTCGCAGATGCCCTCTGTCGCCGATGAATTCGATCTGAGTCTGATCAGAGGCGATCCGACGTCTTTGCTTAACGCCATGGATTCGCCGTCGTCGTCGTCGTCGTCAGCGACCTGTCTCACGCCCGACGATCAGCAAGAATCATCATTCCAGAACTTCGATCCGCCGTATTACGCGGTCGGCCACCTCGTTTCCTCGCAGCAGCAGCCGTCCGCGTTGTCGACGATCAATTTCGCCGGCGGCGCGACAGACAGTTTCGGTAATCAAGTGATACTACCAAGGAACGAGGGTCTGCTGTTCGGCAATCAGCGGGTCGCCGGGTCAAAAGTCACGGAAAACGAGAAGAGTGATAAGTCGTACGGTAAGTACGCAGTTTACTGTCTCTCCTCGTATATATTTCGGAGAGAATTTACTCTTTAATTCGACAGCATCCGGGCCTTTGGTATTCAAATAAAATTTTATACTTTCAAGCATCAAAATAATAAGTTATTCGATGAAATGTATCCCCAGTATTATTTGACATTCTGTACTATATAGCACCAATAAGTGTGATGCACAGTTGTATTTATATTCGCGCAATTGTGTTGCAGATTGCGCGAAACCAGCGGAAGGGAACTTGCTCGCGTCGGCTTATCAATGTCATTGGATCGACTGCGGCTGTGCGTTCGCGGAGCAAGAGGGTTTGGTGCGACATATCGAGAGGCGGCACGTGGAATCGTCCTCGACGAACGCGCACGGTCATGGCAGACGGATGCAGCGGATGGACCGAGAGAAGGAGCGCGAAGGCAAGGATGCAGGGGAAGGTCTTCCCGCGTCGAATCGCGAGGACGAATTCGCCTGTCTTTGGCAAGGCTGTCCGCGCGCGCGACCCTTCAACGCGAGATACAAGTTGCTCATTCACATGAGGGTTCACACGCAGGAGAAGCCGAACAAATGTCCGGTCAGTGTCATCGTTTAGTCCTTCAGCGACTCAAAATCTCATCAATTTCGATTTTTATTTTGATGATATGATACTTGCTTTCCGTAAAAATTTTCTGTGTGCGGAACAAAATTGTTACATTATTAGATTCTATAGATTTATAAAGTATTCATATAAATTATCAGATTTTGTTTTTGTACTTTTCTGTTAACGAAATGGTAATTTTTCTGAACTGTTAATTTAACTTTTAGTTTGTTGGTTGTAAGAAGGCGTTTAGTCGTCTGGAGAACTTAAAAATTCATCAGCGATCGCATACAGGCGAGAGACCTTATGCATGTCAACACAATGGTTGCTTGAAGGCATTTAGCAACAGCAGCGATCGGGCTAAGCATCAAAGAACACACTATGATAGAGTACGATTCATTATTATTTATCTCGTGTTATATAAATAAATGTAAAAATTATTTCCTATATATTTTTCCAGCAAGTTTTTACATTTTTATTAACTACGTTTTTATTATTAATATTAATTATTAATTAATTTTATCATGGCTTAATATAATTTCACATTTGTTTGACAAATTATACACCATTATATACATATATGCATCTTAACTTTTTTAATAATAAAATATTAGAACTATATTAGTTAGAGAATTATTTATTTGACAATCTTTTTTCAGTAGAAACAATTTTATGCATAGATAATTAATAATGTCAATTTTTTTTCTAGAAACCATATGCTTGCCAAGTAAGCGGCTGCGGCAAACGTTATACGGATCCATCGAGCCTTAGGAAGCACTTGAAAAATCATACAGAGAATTCTAATACATTATCCAGTTTGTTGTCGGATAAAGTATCAACGACAAACAATGCAAAAGGACATCCATTAAATTCGACGATTCCTTGCCGACAACGTCAAAGCGCATCTATCTTCGATGAAACGAATCATCCATCATATAAGCTGTCTAAAATTTATATTAAAGATGAAGATACGAATATGTGTCATCCGAATAGAATCTCCATAAACTTTGATAGTAACCAGCAAGAATACGTGCCGATCGAATCGATTCGTCATCTTCTTATCAACGATATCAACAATACGCAAAGCGAAAATACAGGTAACGAATATATGTATTTAATCTGTAGTTGATACTATAAATTTTATCACGTTTTTGATGCTATAAGAAATCTATATGACTCATAATATTCATTCAACAAAATATTTAAAACAGATTGATTTTAATAATATCACTTTATATATAAAATATTCTATTTTCTATTAAATTATTAATTGCAGTAACATTTTTGTAGTGTCTTATATATAGATTTATTTTATAGATTTCACATGTTAGATATAAACCTGTATAAAATAATATTTATTCAATTATTAATCACAAGCTTTCGGATTAAAATCCAAGATATTACGCATCGATGATCTAGTTTGAATCTTAATATGACTATGTATGACAAGATTTAATCAGTATCTTCGATATAAAAAATCTGAGAAATATTCCATCTTGCTACTTACAAGTCCGATTGCTTATACATTATTTTTTACATATGCGGGAAAAGCAAAGACGATAGCATGACCTTTAACTTTTATTAGTAACAGTAAGAATGTTATTGAAACGAGTTCTATTTCAACAGTTTCTCTTAGCGAGAATATTATTTATTAAATAGATCAGTTAGAAAAAATTATTATATATTTAAAAAGCAAAATTTTAAATCTCTTAGCGAGTAAAAGTCAATCTATTTGGAAAAATCTTGACGTTACTTAGCCATATTCTCAATCTTTTCTACATAATACACTTTGAAAGAAGATCAATGATTAATAATTTTTCTAAACTCCATCTCGGAAAAGATACGGGGTGATATTTTTCGCGGCTACATATTTGTACGGTGATTATATTTTCTGAGAGAAAATAAAGGGCAAAATTTTAGGATTTTATTCCAACATATTTCCAAAGTTAGTTTGCAATCAAAATAGAGATCAATAAGCAAAAATAAATTTTATAACCATCAAAAATCTCTTTGAAACTGATTCAACTATGTTGAAACAAAAGTCCTTGGTTTCTTAAATAGATTCCATTATTATACAAATTTCAATATTAATACTACAATATCAGATTTTAAAACGCTAAATAAAAAATAAATGACAAAATTGTAATTGAGTTTTGGTAAAATGAATAAACAAAGACAGCTACTTGAAATAAAGGACTATCCTCTAAAATCTAAAATAAAGGACGGATGGTCATCTTTTGACAGCTTTGGGTTGTGTGTAATTTTGATTAGAATGCATGTAAAAAGACGGGTCATCATCCTTTAAGTCGTACGTGTGTGTGATGAAACTCGTGCGCGCGCTAGCTTTTTCTGACAACGAGACGCGCCGATGACAGTGTCATCGCGCACGGTCGTCTATAGTTAATCTCAGAGGAGGTTTGCCGTGCTTTTATGCTTTTACCCCATACCGAGTCTTAAAATAATATTCTTTACTCTTTCTTTCTTTCTTTTTTTTTTGGAAAGAAAGCCCCGCGACGTACGCGCGTATGACAAACGCGCGAAGCGCATACGCGTGACAAAACAGATGACGCGTTGCCACGTGCCACGCACCCGTGCTATTTCCAAAGGAACCCTTCGCGTAATTTCGTAAAGAGCGTGTAAAAAGTAGCGCGTACAAGATCGAATGCGCCAGCTAGAAAGAAAAGAGGAAGAAAAAGCCATTTTGCTATTGTTTCAGGATACTGCGCGTCCGCGGAGGACGATATCCCGGATTTCCACAATCTTGATGCCGACATCGAACGACAATTCCAGGAGCTGAGTGCCTTTGACGACGCTATTTTCATCGACGGATGATTTTCCTCAGCGGGAGAATCCTTTTTCTCACGAAGGCGAAACAGGGTAGATGCTTCGGTGAATGAACGGTAAGAATACTTATTCGATTTGTCGAAAAATCATCATCTCCATAAATTCAAGTCTTCAGTATCATTTATGATCATTTAATCATTTTTATTTTATTTTTAATATTAATATTAATTCAAAGAATTGGAAATGTCACATCATTATATGAATATTATTATTTTAAAGAACGTCATAATTTACAATTTTATTAATTCGTAATTTGCTGATATTGCTGATATACTCACTTTTGAATAGAATTATTATTTATTTTACATATTAGAAATAAGAGATGAATCATTCACTCCCCGATCATTCACTGACGCATTTGTCTTCTCGTCACGATCTCATTGTCGGCGAATTGCAGTCTTTCCAAAGATTATTTTCTTTTTTTATAATCATTTTTATACATATTAGTCCGTTATATTTGACAAATCGTATATATTTTTGTACATAGGTACTTATATATGTATATTATAAGAGAACAATATATCAATTTATTTCAACCGAGTGATTACTTGTCCCCGCACCTTCAACACGCGACTCGGTTCTATCCTTTCTCCCTAATTTTCCTTAATTACTGCTGCAAACACTCGGTTTCTCTCCTGTCAAATATCGACAGACCAGTTTGGAGAAGCTGCTTAGCGCCTCGTTCTGATTTTCCTTCGAATATACCTGTGTATTGATCATCAAATACATTATTATTCCGTGTAATTGTAACAGAGAATTTAATTCTTTAATTTTTATGTGTAACATTTTTAAATCATTTAAATAAAGGGATCTATTAATTAATCATTGCAAAATTTTATTTAATTCTAATTTATTAATAACAGAAATCTAACTATAAACGAACTAGATATAACTCTGTAGCACTTAAATAAAAGAAAACAAAGGAGTGCAAAAATGAAAAAGTTCGAGTTCGACACAAACATTAATTAATCATACATACTAACAATAAAAAATATGTTCTAATAATAAATTTATATTGCACTTATGTTCTAAAGGAATATATGTATATGTGTACATGTCGAGAAAGGGTGAGAATTAGATGTAGAGTAATCTAGATATGCCGGACTTATTTTGTTAATTATTTACAGATGCGAAATGAGATTTAGATTTATGTAGCTTACCCCATTGATCACTATCGTTGGTACAAATTTAAGTGGTGGTTCAAGAGCGTGTGTTTTATCTCCATTTACTGCGAGCAAATCATCCGCAAGCCGGCCTATGATACAATCGTTAAGCGAACTTTGTGTTAGGCCTTTTAGACCGATCTCTCGAGCGCACTAAAAATAGATATCAAGATTCCGTTTTCCTTTTATCAGTTTTTATTATTATATAAATAATTAACAATAAGAAACATAGTGTTTATTTTGAACACCAAATATTTTTATGGCTTGTGACTGCGACGTGACTGAAAACATAACGAAACGTGTGTCATTCAGCTTTAAAGTATCATCAATTGTGAAACTTGAAAGTAATTGAAATAACTTTCACGCGTTTTACGTACGATATCATTTGTTTGTACTGTCATATTTAGTTGAAAATATTAGGCGTTATTATTTTAAAAAAATATTTTAGCGTTATTATTCTTAATGTTTTAATTTTAAGTTTTTAAAATAATATCTTAATTATATATCGACAAAAAATATATTTCTTCTATTTCAATTTTTAACTATAATTAATAATAATCATTATTTTTATTAATAATAATGTGTACGAGATCTCTGGAGAGAGATATAACATTTAAGTATTCCAAGTAATAACGTTAGAATAATTTAGTTTTTATTAATTAAAAAAAAACACTTATTTTTTAACGTTAATGTAATATAAATATTTATTTAACGTTTAATATTTATTTTATTCCTATTTTATTAATGAAACATCAATAAAATAAATTAACTTTAATAAACTTTAATTAAATTAAATTTAATAAACATTATGGGTAATTATTTATATTACATTAACGTTAAAATAAATGTTTTTGTAATGAATACTAACTTAATCAATTATTTTAACGTTTTTAAAATAGTTTTGAAAATGAGTTTTAAACATTTTTTTGCTACTTGGGCTGTCAAAGAGGTACATATCTACAGTATACTCTAGTAAAGTACGCATGCTATCGCACGAATTCGATGGGAAAGTATGTCAAAAGGTCGATGTCATTAAAGTTAAATGTCAGTATGACTAATTCTTGGCCATCAAAACAAGTCCTACGGAGATTAATTATACGTTGCTTCACATAGAGTAAAAGCACACTCGCCGCAGTCTCAATGCTGCCTCTACTAATCACATATATTGTTCACCAGTTGGAAAATTATAGAAATAAAAGCTACCTACCTGCGGAACGGCGGTCGACGGGTTTTTAGCGGACATTGCACAACCGACCAATTTCACCGTCAGATGCTGTTTATCCTGGTCATCCTCGTAGATCTGTATGGCACTGATCGCACACGCCTGGGCCTTATTTCCTTCGCACTCGGCGGGTCCATGTTGACACAAGAACTGCCATGGACCGGTTTCGCTTTCGCGCGTATGCTGGGTGTATGTATACGTCATTATTTAATTTGCATTAATGTGCTCGCCGTGAAAACACAACATTCTCATCGACGTGTCTCAAGACTGAAGACTACAAGGTCATTTATATTTTCAAGTATATTCGCGTGATTGGAAGCGGATTTATCTTTTGTATTATAATTTCTTTGAAGAGCCTTGCGTGATTATTATATATAAAAATATATATAATTAAATATATATTAAAATAGTACATGAAATGCAGTATAAAAAAAGTATACAACAAAAGAAAAATAATTTTATAATAATTAATCCGAGACTATATTTTAGAGTATTTTTGATAAGAAAGTTACTGTGATGCTAAAGTGTGATGGAAAATATTTCTTATCAAATATATAAATTAATTATATTTTACGTTTCTTATAAAAGTAGATAAAAAAAGTTAATAAATAGATTAGGAAATACGAAAGATCAAATGAGTTTTGCAAAAGCAGATTGCATGCCCACTCAAGATATTAATCGTACTATCGTTTCATTATCGTATACATTGCTTCATCGAAGTGATAAAGATCTGATTGATCTGCGTGATTTAAAATTACTTACCACAGCTTTGCCATAAGGAACGAGATTTATTTGAAGATGATTTTTCAATGTCGGATACGACGGTACCAGTTGATTTACAATCCATCGCATGCTATCGCTGCATAACGATTCATAATAAACGTCCACGTTTACGGTGTTGTTCCTGTCATCGGTTAATTGTGCATCGGACTTAAACAAATGTATTATAAAATAATCATGTGCTGTCAAAGAATCTCTGAAGTATTGCACGCCCTTGCTAAAGACTTTAATTCTTTCTCGTGGCTTTTGTAAAAAAATTGACTTGTTAGAAGAGAATAAATTTCTCATAATTTTCATTAAAAATAATTGACAGACTTTCAATCCAAAGGCGCAATCTTAAATTATTAAAGTAGTTAAAAGAACGTTTAATAAAAATATTAGAGATTATTATGGACATATAATACCAATAATGTTGAAGTGGAAAAGTATAAGAATATTATTATATAATACTCTCGTATAGTAGAAATATTTTTAAAAATCAATACAAGAGATAATAATGCGAATATGTTCAAGCGCGGAAGATTCCCAGAATTTATGAATAAATGATACGTTTCTATTTTTGTTCAGATAATCATTAATTTGCAAATGTCAGGAATATTTAATGAAAAGCGCTGTTCGATATATATTTTTCGAAATTCAAAATTTGCCATCACTTACCAGACTGTGACAGACAAATGTAAGAAAGACGGCGGCTGCCAGCCAGGCGCGAGAATTAAAGAAGTGATATCGCATGGTTGTGTCGCTAACGAACTGAAGAATAAACTGAAGAAGGCGTTTTAAACCTGCTGTGAATTGACGAACAACAGATATACGGGAGAGGGAGATACGAAACGCGAAGAGAGAGTGGGGAGATCAGAAAGAGAGAGTGAAAGAAGATTCAATCAATAGCGGTCAATCTCGACGCCTCGACGAGATTATTAGTCAGCAATTATTATTTATTCAGACTATGAATTTTTTAAATGGCAATCATAGCAGCCGGATGTTCATTGTGTTGAATGCAATAGAATGTAGACAACTTCTCTATACGGTAATGAAGCAATGTACATATATGTACATGCATCGATCTCTGATGCAGCATCATCCGCACGTGCGTTGCTTTATTATCATCTAGATATGTACTATCTAGTACTATATATGTGATAAATCTACGCAACATCCGTATGTTTTGTAGTGTATGGTTTTGTCGCTCATACGTAGCTGTTAGGAAACTTTTGCACATATGTTAGAAATCTTTTAACATATATTAAAAAACTTTTATAGTTTCACAAAACATATAATTTCTGCTTTCTATATAATAATATTAATTAATAATTCTAATAATGTAGATTAGAAAGGATTATTTGAAAATAAGTTTTTTAATTTGTAAAATCTATTTAGAAGTACAAAGAATATAAAAATGAACAAATTATATTAATTTGGTTTAGTTTTGCATTATAAAATTGAATTTTTCAATGTTGGGATCTTAGCTTTACGTTTTTGTAACTTTTAAGATGCACAAATTCATATTTAAAAATATTATATAAAAGTTTTTTGTCTCTAATTCCATTTTTCGGTTTTATATTTATATCTTATGAATTAAATAATAGTTTGCAAATTTAAAACAAAGATATTTGAGCATATTTTAATTCGCTCTATATTAGGCAAACAAATTTTAGTTTTTATAAAATAAAATTTGTTAAATATTTGGAATTGTACATGTGATTAAGTAAAACAATCGTGAACAATTACAAGATATATTTGTAATACAGAATAAGTTAACAATTTGTACTATGGATATTTAAAGTTAAAACTCAATGATCATACAGAATTAGAAATAAAAAATGAATAACTTGTACGAGTTGAATAAACAATTATTCATTTTTGTCTGAATTATCCGAAATATATAAATGTATATTTTATTTGATAAATTTATCAAAATATAATAAAAAAACCTATAGAGATCTTATACAGTTTATGATAATTATGATGTAATGTATTGACAGTTCAATACATAAAAGACTAGTTAAAGCTATGAAATTGTTCACATTTTTGTTTTATAGAACTATAAGAAATTTAATAAATCTAATGCATATTGAAGAGCTATGTGTTATACATCTACACCTTGATGAAACTTCAATTCTGGTTGCACCTGCTTCAGTTCCTGATACAAATCGTTGGCACGTTTTTTGAAGGTCGCAGCGAGCTCGGGATTTTTTTGCGCGCCTTCTCCTCTTGCGTGCATCTGCGACAGATTCGCACAGGCATACGGATTACCTAATTCGCAACTCTTCAACGATAGCTTGTAAGCTTCTTTATAATTCTTGTCAATGACACCTTCGAGACCCCCCAAATAAATACCCGACAAATAAAAGCACGCTTTCTCCGAATTGTACATGTCACAGGCCTTCTGCAGTTGTTTAACACCTGTGTGGATCTGAGTAGACCTATCTTTCTCTCCGACATTGTTCTTAGATGTTCCCAGGACACCGGCATGCAAACATCCGTACTCATCATTGAGCTCACAACCTTTTGACATGTATTTGTACGCAGTGGGTATGTCCCGTTTGCAACCTTTACCTGCATTCAGTGTTGTGCTTAGATGATTTTAAAATTGACTAGACAAAGATGAGATCAAAATATGTAAATTCATCTTAGATAAGTTGAAGATAATTTTCTTTTAAATATCTCTAAATAAAAGAAAATTATATGACAATTCACCTAGATAATAATTTTTAAAACTGCTTATGTAAACACAGTTATAAAAGAGATATAAAAACACATGTATTCATATTTTTATTTATATATTTTTATCGCTTCTACTATTTAAGTATTTTTATGTGCTAAGATTCTAAACTAAGATTAACTGAAAATTATTCTAGCTAATTTAGTAAAGATAATACTTTTTTTTCTTCTAAGATGCAGATATAGAAAATATATATTTTTATTATTTGTATAAAGATAAAATGACGTCAAAGTCAGTTTCATCTAGATGATCATCTATATAATTTTACTTAGATAAATAAATTTAGAGAAATTTAGGTAAATAAATAAACCAAACACTGCCTGCATTGAATAAGTGTTACATCATGCAAAAAATGTGTGCAAGATCCGATTTACTCACCGACCGCTTTGAAATCACCGTATTTCGCGCAGCTTCTGCCATAATTATACTGGTCGCAGGTGGTCTTGTAAATCGCAGCGGCCTTCTCCATCTCCGTCTTCACCGCTTCGTAATAATCACCTAACAGGTGACAGACTATTCACAGAGTAAAATAGCTGTTGTCACATCAGAGGAGTTAGGCTTGGTTCGGAACGCATCTTCACTCACCATCCGGCTTTTTCTCGCTGTAACAACCGAACTGATACTCTATATGAATATTCTTCAAGAACTCCTTCACGTCTTCTTCGTTCTTTAAGTCGTACGCCATAACGTTTCATAAACAATCCTACGGAATTTTAATCTTGAATCCTGAATCGCACCTGCACACGTGACACGTGACTGTCAACTGTCATTGACTATCAAGAATGAAGAATGTAAACTTCCCGTAAGAAAATAAAATTAGAGTTGTGTTCGAAAATTTTGTCGAATCTTTGTTCTTTTTTCTGATTGGTCGGAGACAAGTAGATTTTCGAACACAACTTTATAGAAAGCACACAAGATTATCTTTCTGTATTTTCCATAATGTATGCCTCAATATTTTCCCGCCAATCTTACCGCATTGAAAGAAAACACGGAAGTGAAAGTTATTTTATTTTACAAAAAGGTTTTTAACTTTTATTTATCAATAAAAGTTTAATTATTGATGTTACATTAAGATAACACGTGTTCTCAAAATGACATGTACGTATATTTGAATTTTATATGTATGTTTATTGAATGAATGACATAATTTGTTTGTAGATTTTTTTTACATTTTTAATATTGCAATTGAAACAAATATATGTTCAGATTGTTGAAAAAAAAAAAAAAAAAAAAAAATGGACAGAGAAGGTATAGGATATAAAATTTTAGGAGATAATTTTATATTGTAAATAAGGTTATGGACTTCTTTGTTTCACTAATTTAATTTCTTTTATTGTAGCAATCGAAGCAAGGAATTGGACAACAGAGTATTATGTTACAAATCAGTTATCCTGTCAGCAAATTTTAGAAAATCCTGATGTATTGAGAGAAATACCGTTATTAAACAATCTGCAGCTACATGATATCACAGATAAACAGTTGATCAGATTTCGAGGGATGGTCCAAGATATGTATGATCCTGAATATTTCCTTAAACAATACGAGGTGAAGAATACAAAGACTGGGGAGAGTGATATTAGATGTGGAATGTATACAGATGCAGCTCGATGTTTGGTAACGTGTCTCATTTTTGTTTTAATTTTATATTATATGACTCTAGAGATATTATTGGGAGCTTTTCAGCAAAAAAATATAAATAGACACAATGTGATACAATTAGCTATCAAGTAGAGAATTTTTAAAATCTCGAGAATTCTTTTTGATAACTAATCATGTGATATTATGTTTTATGCATGTTTCTTGCTGGAAACTTCTATTATATTATCCCTATTCTTATATGAATAACGGATATAATCTAGAGTCTAGATTAAAAATAATATGCAGTTCACAGGTGTGGGATGTTATGAGAATAGCTTATTTCATGTATATTACTGCATACATTTTTATAGAGATCTATAAAATGTTTTTGTTCAATGACATTTATTAATCTTTATTTTATCTATATGACATTTATTAGTTTTTATTTTATCTATAGTCGCATGAAGAAATATTGTTTGATTCTAACAAGAATGAACACTCAGAAAGGCAAACTTACATTGCAATGTCTATACCTGGTTTAAACAAATGGGTAAAAGAACAGAATAAATGTACAGAAACAAATGTACAAAAATTTAATTCAACAATACGTAATGATAATATGAGTAAAAGAAGTTTGGATGATACTGATATAGAGAAAATGGATTGTTCAGAGCCTGTTACAAAAAAAGAAAAAATTTTGACTGATAGTAGTGATGCAAGCACGAGCAGTAATTCAAATGTTCAGAATATATTATCAGAAGAGCATATATTAAATTTTCCTATCCCGATTGATGAAGGAAAAGTTTGCATAGTGAAGGTAAATTATATAAATTATGCAACTTGTTATTAAATTATAAAACATTTGTATATTTTATGTTTCTTAATTTTTATTTTTCAGATTTATGATGGGACAACTTTAAAATTGAATCAAGTTGTTGATATAATAGGTTTTATATCATTGGATCCAATGTTAAGTACAATTAATTCAGAAGACGAGATGAATATAGCAGAAGTCAATACTCATAATCCTCCAGCTTCTTTGGTACCTCGGTTACATGCAATAAAATTAATTGAACTCACAAAATCTGAGATTGTAAATGCTCCAGAAATTATATCGAAAGCGCAACTCATCAGGGGTGATTTGCAGATAATATTGAGTCAGTTATTGTTTGGAGATCATTTAGCTGCAGATTATATGATATGTCACTTACTCTCTACAATGTATGTGTGTATTTCAATATTTTTTCTGTATCTGTATTTCAATATTCTATTATTATTATGTTTAACATTTTTAGATATATGAGAAGGGATTATTTTTGTCTTGGTACATTTCCATTGAATATAACAAATTTTCCAGCCAGTAAACTGAAGATGTTTCCCAAAGAATTTTACAACTTTTTAACATTATTTGTAAGGAAAAGTCATTTTTTGGAGGTGACTTTGGAAAACTTGAATGAATTAGCTTTAATTCCAAAGTAAGTTTGTTCATTAAATGCTTGTGCATGTCAGTGAATAAGATTACATTATTTCTTTCAGAAAGGATTATGAATGCAACAGATTGACAAGTGGTATTCTTCAATTAAGCAATAATACACATCTTGTATTAGATGAGACAGGTTTAACCACTGGTGTATTAAATGTCACTGGCAAGACGAATTATAAAGCTCTTTCTGATTTGGTTATGTTTCAAAAACTGGACTATGATTTCAAATATTACACAATGGAATATGAAACAGATATTCCAATTCTGATTTTTTCTGATGTAAAGTCGTTTATTCCTGTAAGTATTTGGTTTTTATAATAAGTTACACTTTATTCATGAATATTAATCTATGAAATGTTTGTTTATAGTGTCCTGTACAAGTTATTCTAAATGTTGATGCAGAATCGGAAAATGTATATAGTGAGATAATTGAAGCAGCACATCAATACTTAAATGATGAGACTCGATTGGCGAATATTCGTCAATATTTGGAAGTCTTTAAACATACAGATTTTGTTTTCAACGAAGAAATCACGAAAGTATGTAATTATTTTTTCATTGATTTTTAAAATTAACATCTATGTTTATTTTGTTTTATAACTTTCTTTTTTTATATATATATACTTAATTATGTTTTTTTATATCTATTTTAGACCATCCAGGACGATTTCGTCGAAATGCGAAGCATAAATAAAAATTTTAAAGCGGATAATTTGCACTCTTTAATGGTTTTTGCTAGATTGATGTCTTTATCCTATGGACAAACAACACTAGATATAGAATGCTGGAAGAAAACTGTACAATTGGAAATGGAGAGAATGAGCAGATTGCCACAGCGTGAAAGATAGTAACTTTTAGGAAAAAGCAGTTGTATTGAATATAATTCAAATTGTATCATACAATGCAAGTATTTATTTCGTATATGTACATTTTTAAAATGATATAGTGTATCGATAAAAAAACTATACTATTTTACATTTTTCTACTATTGATTACTCTATAAAGCAGGAAAAAAGTTTAGAGGGATTTTTATACTATATTTACATGCAAATCACACATAGTATTTTAGTAAATAAAACTTTACTAATAATCTTTCATGTGATTTGAAATATTGCTTATATATATTGGCTATAATCCATTTCGCGAATTCTGAGAAGTTTGTGCATATGTTAAATTACATTTATTCGAAATGGAACTAGCATATCAGATATCTTTATTGATCTTTGAAGATATTTCCAGTGGAAATATTTCCAAAAATTATATTTTTTTCCTACATCAAATATTTATATGATCAAATGCATGAATGTACATGCAAAGTATGCAAAAGCCTAAGTTTAAATTTAAAGCATTTGAAGTAGCTTTGTATATAATATACACATTAGTAGATTTATTTTTGTGATTACATGATTAATTATTAGGATATGGCACAAATAATTTATAGAGTTGTGCCATTTAAGTAAATAGTAATTTAAGGGATTTTTTTCGATTGTCATACTTTTCTTTGAAGAGTAACAAAAAGGATAATTTCTTATGTAGTTAAAGATCTACCTTACATACTCAATAATTATTTTACGTCTTTATAGTAAAGATACTTTAATATGTATAATAGATGTAAAAAAACAAAAACACTTTTATAATAGTCTGTCAAAAATATACTGAATCATCAATATTACGTATTTTTCGAACATTGCTAAGTAAGCCTTACCTTTCACAGGTACAATTTTTATTCATTTTTACAGTAACTATTGTTTCCATTTTTGTCTGTATCTGAATAGTTCCAATTGCAAAAATATTTGTGCCCGAAAAGTAGAAAATGTAGCAAAATCTTCACTACTGCTCGCTAAAATATTAAAAATTATCTTTACAATTTTCAATTTTTTTATTTTATATTTAGATATAAATAATTTTGCAATTGGATTATTTACTAATGGTTTTCTCGTATTTACATATTTCGCAGTACTGTCGAAGAACAAGGCAAACTATTCATTAATCGAAATGTGAGATTTTCAAATGTCACAATTTTAGTTTGCATTGCAAAATTTCGTAATTTTTACGTAGTTGTTTAGAAATATAAATTCTGTTTTTTTTAGCTACGTTAAAAATTTTTCTCTTTCTCTGTCTTTTAAGGTCTAAATCTATGCTTTATTTCTCTTTGTATACTATATATAGTTAAAAGGACATATTTATATGAATTTATGCACGTGTATGTCCCGTTTCATCGAGATACGAATTGTCGAGGACTCTTTGCACAGCGTGCATATCTTTAGTTCTGTTGAGTCTTTCTTCGCGTTCCCTTTGAACACGTTCTAATCCTTTCTTAGCAGCTTGAGCGTATCTCTTGGAAAGAGCGACTTCCCCTTTCGCTCCTGGAATATGGCCCGTATATCCGACTATCGGTGGTCTTTCCGGAGAGACATGATAATCTGAAAGAATATTAATAACAGTAGTTAGCATATAATTTTGCTTCAAATTGTAAAAATTAATTTATTTTGGCTATTGTTAGAATGGGATAAATATGTGCATTAGCAATTTGAAAGATGATGGATTAAATATGTATTTTAGAATAATGTATTATATTGATATTATATTATTACATTGAACTGAAAATGATCGATAAGCAAAAGTGTAACAAACGCAAATACCAAAGCTTCTTCTGTCTCTGTCGTAACCATGATCGATCTCGATGTCCACATTATCTGTCCTCGCTCGGGACAAGAGATTTCTCGGATCTGTTCGCTCGGCGTGAGCCCTCATTACATCACGTCGTGCTCTCAGTTTCATTTGTGCTTCGCTCCATTCTTTGGCACCGACTTCTACGGCTTTCATAAAAGGTAAACCAAATCTGCTGTTGAAGCCAGGAATATATCCTATATAATAAATCAATATTAAATTCATATTGTACAGGAGAAAGAGAATGCGTCATAAAATAATTTTTTTAGAGTTAAAGAGAGCTAAATTTTTATATGTAAATATAAGTAAAAAAATATGTTTTTAATAAATTGTTTAAGGTAATTTTTACAATATAAGCAATTTATTTTTTATTTAAATTTTAACATACGTTTTTTTTATATATTAATAATTTTTCATATGATTTATATATTGGATGAATTTTATATTGATTATATTAATTTTATGTGCTAAAATAATATTGTTTCGTTGGTCATAGAAATTAAACTAATTATAAAAAAACGAATTATTTTTTTTGTTTCTACATTTTTTTATATTCCACATAAATTTTTTGATATTCTATAAATTGTAAAATAAGTAAAAATATTTTATTAATAAAAAAATTATAAAACAAATTTTGTGCTGTTGAAATATTCAGGAAAATCTCATTCTACGTAATTTCAGCGAATCAAGGATATATACAATATATATATATATATAGTTAAAAGTTTTGCTCGCTATGTGTGTGATGCAATTTGCAAACTGTTAATTACAAACCATTAAGGTCGGTCAGTTAACGCTCACTAATCGCGTACACTGAAGGTCAGAGTAATTTTATTCTACATTAGTATTTTAAAGCGATAAAATAGGATTTATAAGCGCTACTTTATTTTTTCAATCATAGATTTTTTGTTAACTCGACATCGACTTTTTGCAATATATATAGCAAGTTTTAAAATTTTATAGTTAAATATTTTGACATAATTAAAATTTTTTAAATAATTTTTGTACTAAAGTAAAGTCAAAATAATTAAAAAAGAAAATCTTTTTTGTTTCTTATCTTAAAATTTTGTATTAATAAATAAATTTATATGAACATATTTTAATATTTTAACATTTTTTAAAGTAATATTTACGGGCGATACATATACATTTATTGTTTTTTATATTACCAGTATATCCTAGGATGTACGGAGGTGCCTTGTAGAACCTGGTCTCGTTGTTCCAGTCTTTTCTAATTTCTTTAACGTGATGATTCGATAACTCATGTTCTCTTCCAAAATTTGGCTTATATGGTCCAGTTTTAAGAACTTTCTTTTCTAATAATTCCTATGCAACAACATATAATATAAAATGAAATCTTTAAACGCATACTTTGATTATACGAGAAGTTATAAAGTTTCTATTTTAATTTTGATGTCTTTAAAAATCTTTTTACCTTCATTATTTCTTCCGTATTCGCTCCGAATCTTTTCCCAACGCGAAATTTGAGCGTAGGGCAGTGGCCCGTGTATCTGAAAATATATTGTTGAAATATAAATTTAAATAATAATATCATTTTATACATCGATACACAATGCATTTGTTAATAAAAGGGTAAACATTTTAATTAATTTTTAAAATTAAAATAAACATTCGTACTTATGTAATTTTTTGTATTATGATATACTATTTTATTATTCTTCATTATATCATTTAATATAATCTTCTTATCGGTATAAACCATAATATATTAATTGTATTAATATCTGATTTTAAATTTTGCTGTTTTTAGATGCGCATATCTAGTTTTTGCATTTCTTTTAAATATGTGATTATAGTAAAATATCTACATGTGTGTTTGTGTATATATGTATATCAATATGTTACTTAACTTTCGCATTTTTCAAGAACAGGTCGACTAATGTAATGGAAGAGTCTTTGATCATTTTCTAGTCTACTTTTTCATGATAATATAGCGTGCCAAATTACGATCTATTACTTACACGAACATGTTATAGGCACTTTTCTGTTTAATGAAGTGTGTCTAATTTCTAAGGTATTGTATGATATATATACACACACACTGAAAAAAATTTATTGAATTCAAATAAATATTTATTTCAATACTCCTTTATATATATCATTTATTTGAAACTAATAATATTGATTTAATGTGAAAAATTCTTTATTTAATGTAAGAAAATCCTTTTCACAACAGATAAATATTTATTTGTTTCAAATAAATAATTTATAAAGCAGTATTGAAATAAATATTTATTAATTTGATTTTTTTTCTCAATACATCATAAAATGTATGATTTTTTTATTAGATTTATACTTGCAGTTATATCGCACTACTTACTATACAATAATGTAGAATATAAAAAATAAAGTATACAAAGTATACTTATAAAGTAAAAAGTACAGTTATGAAGTAAAAAGTAAAGTATAAACATATAGAATATATAGTAAAGTATAATACATATATATATATATATATATATATATATATATCGAGAGAATAAGATAGAGAAAATGCAGTGTTTACACACGCGAAGCATATTTAAATTTGTTCTGCTGTCTCTTCTTTTTTTTACTCTATCATAGTAAAATAAAAAAATCTTAGAAACTATTTGAAAGCTTTCAAATTCTACGAGTTAAAACTTTTGAGCTTATACAGAATATAAATTTTATTTTTTTTAGGAAAGGGGCTGAATGAAGATGTGTATATTTACTTCATTTATAAATTCTATACTTTAAGTATATGTGTACGTATTGTGAATATTAATATAGAACAATTTAGAAAAATTGATCTTAAATTGATTAATAAATCTATGATTAAGATAAAGTTGATAAATTGTGTGAGACATCATCTATATATCATTTATTTTAACAATGTTTTATTTACTGTATATACACAAAACTGCTGAAGTATACTCATTAATTTATAGATTAATTCGAAATTCAGAATATTCTATTTTTGACATTTGCCTAATTGATTTGCTCTCATTAATTGTATCACTTGAAATGAAAGAGAATAAATATATCACGGTCAATCACTAATTAAAGTAATCGCAGAACTATAAAAGCGGACTACCGGTGACCCAGTAAATCGAGCCTTCATTTTGTGACGGTCACGGTGGAATAATCAGGGATATACATCGTCGAAGTGATTCCTACACGGTTGTCATGTGTGTCTCGGTTCTACTATAAGATATGCACAAATCGTATCTAGGTCGATGCACCATCTCAGCATATCGCAAGATCAGTGTCAGGGAAACGAGATCGTGCTATAGATTTCTTTGAATATAAGAAAGTGACCAAGTTATTTCTTTGTCATTGCATCTTCAGAAGTATTTTATTTGCAAACAAATCTTTGTCTCTTTCTCCAATTTAAAATTTGTTAGTGCCTTGATATATTTTAATCAGGAGAAATTAAGATTGGTCCAAAATTCATTGGAATCAAAATCGATATTCTTTAGATATTTTATTTGTGAAATGCAAATAAGAATTAGACCTTTTTTTTCACGAAAAAAAGAGATTAATAATGCATCATCCACCCACTAATTAGTTATTTCTTGCTCTGTTTTCATCATAACGAGAAAGCCAGCAGAAATTTAACAGAAGGAATAAATTGAAAGTTTTCTTTTCGCAGACAATGTTTTTTATCGAATTGTCTATAAGATCGGTTTTGATGCACTTCTTTTCTTATCTTTTCGGATCGATATGTCGGAGCTAGAGTAAATCACGATAAATTCCAGGTAATTCGCCATAAACGAGGGTGGTTTTGCGTGTGGTAGTTTTACATGGACGTAAAAGGGTGTAAATTGGCACGGTACCAAGCACGGTACCAGCACTTTCGTCCACGTGCGACTTCGAGGTCAATATTGTGGGAATGCATGTTTCCGGGAGTCTCTCTCTCTCGTCCGGTTAATTTAAATCCGATTTTAATCTCTGAAGCGAAACATGCCGGCTGCTTCGATTTTCTCGTTCGATGTCGGTGCAATCAGTAAATATTGCAAATGCATAATGCATTCGGCGCACATACATTATGTATTAAAGTGGTCCTTCTTAATGTGTTGTGATATACAAAATCTTAATTATTGGATGCATGCTCGACTCGTGCATGTATAAAAGATTTTACCTTGTTTATAATAAAATTAATTTGCAGATACATAATAAATAGATACATCGGCAAGATATTGTATATTGTATTTCAGATTCATTTTTACTTAAACTTTTACTGCGCTACCTACGTAGATTTAAGTTTCATGATCGTTTGATATTATACACGACATCACGATAAGAATGTCATGGTTCGGCGACAATGGACTTTGGAAATTTATTAGTGGTTTAAATACCGTTTCTACGACTTTATCCGGTTTCAAGATCGGATCGAATTGATCGTCTGAAATCGTTGCTTGCGAAAAGAAAAACTCGGATTTAATCTCGTGCAGAACAAACATCCTTGAAAATCCTTCAATGGATTCTATTATTGAATCAATTTCACGCTTTCCAAGTTTATACTATGTTTTTACCAAGTTTATAGAATCTAAACGCGTTTTATCATTTATGTAGAAATTTAGGTCATTAAAATTCAATTATTTAAAATAAATTCAAATTTTGATATGCAAAGAACGATTCCACGCAAAATAACAAATTAGTAAATTTATAGAGGCAATCAGGGAATATTAAAAAAATCAAAAAGAAAATTGTGACAAATTTTTGAAACTTTTACTGTAATAGATAGGAATAAGAATTTAAAAATTTTAATTATTCTATTTTTTTTATATTATTCCAATATTGCAGTATTTCTGAATGTTTCAATATTGTTTGGGTTTTCATGAATATTCATCAATTAATAATTTTCACTTTTGTCAATAATACCGATAAAAATAAGAATTATTTGTGTTCTCTTTCTGTAGTTTTATAACATCTGGACTTTTATGAATTTTATTGACATAAGTATTATAAGATAGTGTATAGTTATAGATATATAACGTGTGTGCGTACATACCTATATTAAATATTCTATCCTTATTGTACTTAAATATTCTATTCATACATGATACACTTATTTATTATAAATGTAATACATAGAATGAATAAAAAAGTAAAAAAAAATAAAAAAATTGATATTTTTCACTTAGTTAATATTTAATAAATCTTTAGATAGTCACTTAAAGATTGTCATATTATATAATATCTGTAGTTGAATTGCAAGTTCGTTTGTTAAAACGCTATGCATTTGCATGCATTATGCAACAAAAGATGCTAATGAAACATTTAGTACTAAGATAACGAAACTGTAAATTCAATTAGATTCTTATAATCATTGAAGTAATTCGAGAAAGTAATACTTTATTGTTAACTTTTTGTTCTCTAGTGATATACATATAAGCAACCTATCAATTTTTATTTTAATTTAATTTTACGTTTGATCAAATCTTTAATACTTTTTACTTATCGGGAATATTTTTTATATTTTCAATTTGGATGTACAAAATAAATTCATGAGATGTATACATGTGTTGTCAGTAGAGTGTCAATAATTCCATAATAAAATATAAACGAAGTATATGAATTAATTAATCAAAAAGAATCGATCAATCTGAAAGTATTTAGGAAAATATTGAGGAACTTACCCGGGTAAATGAGCTCCATAGCTTTGCCGAAAGAATTGTTTTCTCTGCTCGTCACAGAGCGGATCGAACACCATTTTTTTCGTTGTTGATCTCTATCACTGTGTAATAAGTTACAATGCGATGACACTTGTCAGATTTCCAATTTCCTCTTCATGTTTTCTTCCTTTTCTTCTTTCTCTTGTTGATTAAAACGCATCCTTATTGGATTTTAATAATTTTTTTTATCTCCCACAACGTCTTATTCATTCATCATATTCAGCGAAAGTCTATTTTTTATCTGCTTAATTATAGTTTGCAATGTTTTACTTGAATTCAATCGCCATTGAAGGAAATTGATTTCACCAAAGATTGTCACCAGATTAATTCATAAACTCTTGTTTGTATTGCGATTAAAATCTCTGAATCTTTTCGAGAGAGTTTCAAGAGATCACCAAACTGCATTTATATGGCTTACTTCCGAAAGTCACAGATTCCGATTTCGAATATTGTACACCAAAGATGATCGAAAGGGATCGTCTATCTCTTGGAAAATCCACTGGAAGCTGGGAAGATCAAGCGACAATCCGATGTGTCAGCTCCGACGACGATCGTGCATCCGTTGCACGCGGCTGACGCGTCAGTGAAACAAGACTGCACATAGCCGGCCCGAAGATACATAATCCGAGCTATGTCCTACTAAAGGTAGAGGATCCCCTCCAGTTCCACGTGCGGAGTCCGCGCGAGCCTCTCTTAAGGGGTTCGACGTTCACATATATAAGGACGTGTTAGCGCATCCGTACTGCTTAATCGTGCGGGAATGGTTCAGGCTTCGATAGTCAGTTTTGCTCTTAAAGGCGTGTTAGCTGGTCGTTAGCCCTTTATTGTCTCCTGCGTCGACTCGACGTAGCAGCTTAGAATAATGCTGCGTTTATGCTTGTATTTAGATGAGGATATTGCTCGTTTTTTATACACTAGACAAAATATTAATTATTAAATTTTAAAAATTAAATAAAATTTAAAAAAATTATTAATTCGATTAAACCTTTCAAATAGATTACTATTTTTTTTAATTGAACATATATCGCAGTATTTAAGTCAAACATAATAGGTATGTTTTGTGTTAGATTTAATGTATTATATTTAATTTAAATATTTCTTAAATAATATTTAGTTGAAACGTTTAGTCAAGTGAAAACATTTTTTTTCAGCGTATACTTGATATTCCGGTTTACAGCAATCGATATGTTTTACGAATTAGTTTTACGAAAGTGAGTAAATTAAATTTAAGATGTTGGCTGGCGAAACGTTACTTAGTCATTATGCTCTCATTGTCAGTGTAATGGCTCATAGTAATAATGTATTGTGTTTATAATTGTATATTTTTCTGCTCATTTCTTCAACATTCTATGTGATAGCGATTTTTATATAATAATCATGTATATATATACTTCTTCTAAACAATCGATGAGAGAAATTTTAAATTAAATTTTATAATATATGTGCTGATAACATACATATAACATTTAAATATATAATATAATAACTATAGAATTTTACTTACTAAAAGAAAACGAAAGTGTAACAAAAATCTGAGATTATTGAGATCTATCGCGCAGATTCTCTATGTTTTAACTATGTTTATTCCTTTTGCCCTCTTATTTTCCTTTTAAATTCTCAATTCAGAATTGCAATTATTGTTCAGTTTAAAAGGCGCACATGCACTCTTTCTCGTTTCTTTCACGTAACTAGGAAACACACTTAAGTAGCAAACGACGGTCTCCGGAGTAACTCTGCCTTGACGAAAAATCGATATGGAGGGGTTGAATGCATCACTCATTTCTCACGAAAGTCGTGTCTCAGCGAGTATAAGTATCATGAGACTGTTTTATACAGTTTTTTCGATTTTTATAATATTGTTATAATTTATTAATAAACACGAAGAGCAATAAAATAAAATTTAAAAAGATAAAATTAATATAAACGTAATAATTATACAGTACACAAACGTAATACTTATTTCCTGTAAGGAAATGAAAAAAATTTATTCATTAAAAAATATTGTATTTTGACGGACTTCATAATTTCGCAATTAAGTATTATATTAGGCCTATATTTCCTCCTATGTAAATATATTAAAAAAAGTAAAAATAAAGTATAATTTATATTAAAATTTTAGGAACATTTTATAGCAGAATATAATTTTGATAAGATGAAAAAATGTGTTGGAATTTATTATAACATTTTTAATAATTAACTGTAAATATTTAATATTTAATTTTATAAAGATGTATATAAGTATTCAATTTCTCAATTTTTGCTCTATGTTCTTTAAATTATCATTACTTCAAATAATAGAACCCGAATATAGAAAAATTTAATATTTAATATAATTCAATAAATTCAATAATAAATTTTATGCATTTATATTATTTGTATAATTTCATATTTTTGGAGAAGTAAAATTATAACGTGTTAGGTCTTCTGCAATCTCGAATATTTTAAGTAAATTTACTTTAATAATTGTTTTCAACTGATCATTATATTATTGATTATATTGAGTATAGGCCGTTCTCGACTTTTGCTTAAAAATATATATATTCTGCATTAATTTATGATTTATATATTCTTTATATGATATGTCATCGGTAACTTAAAAGATTTTTTTTACACACTACATAATTAAAAAATTTTTTTATCGGCAAAAATTGTTTTGCAATTCTATATAAGCAATGTATAATCTAATACTTTTTTGTAATGAATATGCTTTATGTGTTTTTTATATTTTTAATTTGAAATAATTCTATTAAAAAAATTTCTATTGTTTGTTTTATAATAAATATTATTTACATGTAGCATTTTTTACAAACTGGTTTAAACTGCTTTAAATGTGAAAAATAATCATGATTATACTATATCTCAAAAATATTCAGCCAATTTTTATATGAATTTTAATTCGATATAGATTGGTGATGTTGATCGAATCTATTGTTGATGGAAAATGTAATATAAAAATTTCTTCTAAAGATGATATACAATATATTGTCTGTATTGTGTGTCTGTGTTTTCTTTTATTTCAAAATATACAATATTATCAATTTTTTGAAAGCAGATTTTTAAAATTGCTTTATCATAGTGTTATTATTGTATTCATTATGAAATTATTATTCTACTAAAAATTTATTCTAAGTAACTCTGACTGATTTTATACAATGATATTATGTGTCGACTCTTGAAAAGATTGAAATGAATTCATATCATTAGTTTTTACCAACAATCGATAGCGTGAATTGTATTAACAGTTGACAAAGTCATAATTGATATATGATAATATCTTGTGGTGTATGTAGATAATAATTTTTTCCCGATAATTTTTATTTTATTATTTATATTATTATTATTATTATATCATATACGTTAATAATCGCTTATATATGTATATGTATAAGAATAGACAAAGTATAAAATATATTTTAATTTTTTTTTAAGTATTGGACATTACATTGTTGAAAAAAAAAAATAACAAAAAATTGATTACTTTATTTATTGCGTATTATTTTATTTCTACTAGAAGGATTCTGTGTAATATAATATACATATACATATATGTATATATGCGATTATGTTCGCGCATATTGTTATAGTATATATATATTTACATATTTACTTATAATATATACATACATGTATATCTTAATCTAGCTATAATATAGAGAACGTGTATGAAAGAGGGAGAGATATTGATTTTCGATTTCTGTTACACATATATTGTCAAAGAGTTATATTTTGTTTCGACGAATTTTCAAATAACTATATAAAATCATGTGATATGCAACAAAGTATATATGCGTTCGCAAATATGTCGAATCGATATAATTTGATGTAATTTGAATATTTTTTTTAATCGCAAAATATCAGCGCAAAATCCAAATAACATTGTTAGTTTTTCGTAGTTGGTCACTTTTGATATTAAGATAATTTGCTTGTAAAGCGTTTTTTCAAGAATTTGAAGTATATAAACATATTTTTAATTATCAAGTATTTTTCATTATTAGATATGTTAATTTATAAAGAAGATTAATTATCAATATAAAATGTTTTAGAATACATACTTCTAATAAAATAAATATAATGATTAATTTGTTGGCGCATGTTTATCGAAAGTTTCATATTAAATTGAGGAAAATAGTTTTGTCGGTTTATAATGTGATGCAATTCATTAATTAATGCACATAATAATACTGTTATATCATTAATTCTCATGCATGTTAAGGATGTTATATTTATAATAATAATAAATTTCCTTTGCCTCGTTCTTCATTTTCAGTCGATTTTAAGTATTATAAACTCGCACATATTGCATTTAATCAAGGACAGATTTCATAATAGTGATTTGTTTTAAAAAAATTTGTTTAATTTCTTTAAATCATCCTTTTTACATTTGTTCATTCTTGAGAAATTATATTTAATAGTTGAGGTATATGATGTATTACATAAATTGTATTGTGTGTAGCAAAAAAAAAAAGAAAAATGATCCTGCTTTTGTTTCTATTATGTAAGCAAACAATTACTTTTTATTTACCTCGATGTTTTGCTCGATGTTTTGTTCTTTTCGCTGCTTTTATTTGTCTCTATTATATATAATATTTATACTTGATCTAATTTCAAATACACGTACATAATAATTAAAGAGTAACAAATGGGCAAAGAGCACATACACGATCTTAGTGTAATAAAGTAATAACAGCAATCAATTGTCAAATGTTTCGGTTATTATTTAACCATGCATCTTCAGTGACAAACTTTAGAATAGCAGTGATATCAGTCAAAAAACAATGATCTATTTCGACATATCAAACGGAACCATTCCGTTTGATATGTCGAGATAGATCGTTGTTTTTTGACTGATATCACTGCTATTCTAAAGTTTGTCACTGAAGATGGTTAAATAATAACCGAAACGTTTGACAATTGATTGCTGTTATTACTTTATTACAACTTTACACTAAGATCGTGTACGTGCTCTTTGCCCATTTGTTACTCTTTAATTATTATTTACTGAGCCCAACTAGTAAAAAACATGTACATAAGTCTAAAAAGTGTGTTTTATTATATAATTGTTAAAATGTTAAATTACAATTCGTGCGTTGCTTAAACGAATTATTACGTGTTTATTATAATCACATATTATCAATAAGTATAACTTTTCTGCACTCTATCGATTTAAATATCTACATTTAATTTATATTTTGCCCTCTAAAGTGTTACATATCATACCATATAATTTTGTTAATTCATGCTAGTTGTTTTATTGTATATACTTTCAACAATTTCACCTAATTAGTTTCACTTTTTAGAGTTTGTTTACAGCTACGTTTAATATCCAAGATTAAAATGCGGTTCACCGAATGTCATGCTTTAATAATATAATTATAGCTTTAATTAAGTGCATTTTCATTTTCTCTGTCATTCCTATAAATAAAATATCAAAAGAAATAAAAATCCACTTATTTAGTATGTTTTCCTTAAATTTGTAAAACAATTACGGGATCACAAAAAATAATATTATAAGTGAAGTGTATTTTTTACTTGAAGAATTTCTCGATTTCGGAATTGTCACAAATCCATCACTGAATGACTGGCGCGCGATCGAAGTGTCGGTAATCGCGTGTAACTTTTCGCGTGTAATAATCCCCGGCTGCGGGGATTCAGGCGGTATCTCCAGGACATTTAATGAATCTATACCTGCTCCCACATACTCCAGCGTACGCCTACGCGAGACGATATTGCGCGCCGCCAAAAATTCAATCCGACACGTCACGCTGCCGTGTGTATCAACATTGAAAAATCAATGGTAACCCGTGACGTAGGTGTCCCGCCTCAATGATGGCCAATGAGTGCGCGCGACTATCCCCTCCACTCGTTTGCAAGTACGTTGCTTATTCACACGCAGACCGGCGTGCTCATTCTGCAGCGAACTGCCGCACCGAGCAGACGTGAGTTCTGAGATATTTGTCGGAAAAAAAAATCAGACGACAAGCCGCAAAATCAAAGAAAAATACATATCGAGCAGATATATATATATAACAAGGCGGGCGCATCGCAGGAAACGCACTTGTGAAAGCGCAAGACGTGTATGCAGTTTTCCAGCCAGCTTGTCATCCGGACCTGTCATCGGGGATCGTCGTAGCGGATTTTGCGAAAAGTCGAGCGATACGATTGTCGACGTTCAATAAAAGGCGCGAAATCGATTTTTCTCGGCGGATCGATACGTGATTGCGATTGAAAAAAAATTTGCGAGATTTATATACGAGTTAGAGATCTCGTCGCGGGAAAAAAACGTCATCGTCAGGAGGAACAGTATCGACGGACGCATCGAGATAGTGTGGATTATCTCTCTTTTGTAAAATCGCGGCGAGGTGTCCCGTGCGTGCTGAACTTTCTAGAACCGTTGCGAGAGGGAGAACGAACGGAGGAGAGAGACAAAAGGCCGACAACGATATAGAGACGGGATAGTGAGTGCGAGGAGCCGACGAGAGAGAGAGGAGGGACAGAGTAAGAGAGTGTACGTGCACCCGGCGGACGAGATGGCGTTTATGATGCCCGTGGTGAAAAACGAATGGGACATTTACAAGACTAATCGCAGCCGGCGCTCGTCCGAGTGCTCGAATCCGCAGGCCTGTCGTAGCAGAAAGGTGAGTGGCGGAAAAAAAAAAAATAATATCTCCAGATTGTTTGCGTGCTACACAGAACAGTTAGCGGTTTTTACAACGTGAGTATAACGCAATGCTCGTGTTCATTGATGGACTCGAGAGTTCCAAACACATGTATATTTACAGCTCCTTTTGTTTACGTCATATTTAAAATAATATTTAAATTTGAAAGGTAAAATGTGTGTATAACTGAATAATAGCAAATAATATATATTTGCTAAAAATTGTTTGTAGAACGCTATTGTTCTGTGGAGCATTATAGTTGAACAAAGCCGTGTTATAAAGTAACATATTTAGTTGCTTTTTGTAAACTTCAAATGTAAACATGTACTATATAATAGCACATTGCAGTATAATTATGGATGATATTCAAAGAGAATAAATATGAGATATATACATATATGTATGCCTATACATATAATAATGAACATTGAGATTATATAAAACATATTATGTAAACATATTTGTGAGATTATGTAAAAAAAAACTCAGAAAATAAAGTAGAAATATAATAGAAAAAAATAAAAAAAAAATAGATTTTGTATAATGATAATTTTCGCAAAAGTATAATTTCATCATATTTGTATTGTACGAATTGTGACAATCGTTGTCAAGTCATCGAAAAAATAGAATGTTTACATACATAAATTCTCGCGTGTGATTATTTTGACACATACAATTTTTAACACACTATTCTGAGGCAATTTTAATTTAAAAAATAATACACATATTAGTATAGTATGTCTAAACTATTCATATTGTAATTTCTAATGACATAATTGTGCTTCTCCTTATTATTAAATATTTTATTTATTTGCTGAAAGATGTACCTAATTATTAAGAATAATAAAAGAAAAAAACAAAGTTCCAAGTATAAAAAAAGATAAACAACAGAAATCTGTTAAAATTCTGATTGTCAGCATTTATGTAAGATGTGATTGCAAGAATCGATGACTTTTAACTTAACAATGCTGGCGCCGGCCGGTCTTGATGCGTCATTCGTGTATTGTATCGTGCGCGTATTTACTAACGAGAAAACATTAAAATTTATGTCTGCATGAAAAAGTTTTCTTATGCATCTAAAAAAAATCTGATATGCGTATTCCGCCGAACGCGTATTTTAACATATGCATCTTACGGATCGATGAGTTGACACGAGAAATTCGTGATTGATCGTCGTCAATCGAGATCGTCGTTACGTTGCTCAAAATCGTGAAATAGGACAATATAAGATGAAAAATCGAGAAAGAGTGCAGCATTGCATGCGCAATTTTTTCACAGGTCTGGCGAACTAGCAGGCACAACCGTCTTGCAAAATGCGGCACACCTAATAGTGATCACCCTTCTGTCTCGATTTTTATGGTCAGTCTAGCTTTGCGCGATCCTTCCAACTTGTATATATGACGAGGTGTTTATTTTGAAAACGAAGTCGCATTAACTATTAGAAATAAAGTAGAATTGTTAGTTGAGAAAGATACGCGAGAAAACTGCTTTAACAAGAATTTTAAATTTATCGTTGTTCTTTCGAAATAAACACCTTAACTTTCATAGCTCCAAGAAGTATCTATATTTATGAGTTTCTATATTCAGCATCTATATTTATGAGTTTCTATGAATGTTAGTTGTAAATACATGTATTATTAATTTTTAAATTTATTATCAATTTTTTTAAATATTTGATACATTTAAGAGAGAGAGAAACAGAGAAAAAAAAGAGGAAGACAGAGATAAGTAATAATTTTAAAAAACATGTTATTTCCCTGTTTATGCAAATCGATGATCGACTTTGGAGTTATGAGAGTTATATAACTTTTCTGTGAGTTAAAGGTTTTAACTTTAATGTGTTCTTTTTATTATTCTAATAAGAATATTCTGTTTTTTTAAATTTTTTGTTGTTATATATTGTGTATAGGTATTGTGTATATTTGTCATATTGTGTATATCCTTCATTATAACTGTTGTACATCTAATTCTTTGTTTCGATAACAAAAGGCTAAATTTATTCCTATGTCAATAAGTCCTTTAAATATGCAGGTCCGTCTTTTAAAAATAAGAGAATCAACTATAATAATATAAATTTATTTAAAATAGGATTAGTTTTTTTACAAAGTTAAACATTAATTATTAAAATATTAATTATAATTATATTTTAAGTTGTTATTAAAGCAAATTTAAATTTTGTCATATTGAGATTTTATTGTATATTTAAACTTTTGCAAAATAATAGAAATAATAGAAATTTATCATTAATGATATACGCACATATAATAGAATCTCTTTTTTACGGACATCTACATGAAATATTTTTTTATTATGTATTCATTATGAATTAAGATTTGTCTTAACATTATTTGCTTAGCTTTTGAGATGTATACGTTTTCCCTGAATTTTTTAATGACAGTTTTTATAATTTTTCGTTTTAAAACTTTGTTTTGTTCGTGTGTTGTGTTCAAATAAAAAAATTGATTTTTCACATCAATATTGTCGACAAGAAAATAAGTTGACATGTGAAGAATTAATTTTTAATTGAATATCTCAAATTAAAATCTATTTATTGGAAACTCATTTAGAACTTGAGTGGAAAATAAGATTTTGTTATTTATATTGTATATACTTGCAAGAGATGTTTGTGTGAGCTTCAATATATTAAATTAAATTATTTTCATCAATTTTTGTATATTAATGATAAGTTTGCATTAAATTAATTTCATATAAAATTAATATATCATAAAAGTTAATATAAAAATTTTTTACTGAGAGGAAGTGACTTGTAATACATTTTTTACGTGTCATAGAAGAATGTGACAATTTTCTTCAAGTTATGAAGATTGGGTATAAATTTTTTTCTTATTTAATTAGTATATTTAGCATATAATTTTTTGCTGACGTTCTTTGCACATAAAAAAATAAGTAAAAAATAGCTGAATTCTCACAAAATTATTGCCATCATCTCACCACACTCAAACCGGTTTTCTTTAGACGTTCGCTAAACGCCCGGTAAAACTGTATTTACAGACACCGAATAAGCATAATCAATAACGAGTGACGATCGGAACCGCGTGTCTTACAGATAAATATACGCTGGTCACGAGTTTATTTTTATCGTGACGTAAGCAGTTATGCGCATAATGCCTAATTGCAAATGGTACGCGGCACTTATCGCGCTCATAAGTGTTATTGCAAACATTATATTGCCGATGACATTGCAACCATCGATCCTTCTATTAATCATTTATGTATGACCTAAAGAAATGTGCAATAACGGTGATAGAAAACAGTAATTACGATATTAATTAATAAAAGTAGTATATCATATTTATAACACGCTATAATTGATATATGAGATCTTTGGTTATATTAATTTCATATAGTTTCATTTCCATAAAAATCTTTATATATATGTATATATAAATGTTATGCATTATTATTTTTATTCTAATATCTTATATATTTAACGGATGCATATAATAAAAATTTAATAAATAAATATTTCATAAGGCATAAAATGTATTAAAAAAATGAATAGATGTAATAATGACAGGTATGGCAATAATTATCATGAAATTTGATCATGAATCATGCTTTTATACAATTTTAAACTGATTTTATTTGCGATATAAATTTAATGCGGAATATATTTAACAATAAAGATTAAGAGGTTGTAGAAGTTGTTTTCAAACTTATGCAGAAGAGAAATAGATTTTGTCGAATTATTTTTAACAAAAAGATGTTGCTGAAGGTCTAGGCCCTACACGCAAATTTATCTGTGACGCGATATTGCGTAAGTTTGGTTGTCGGTTTCATAATGTATCGTGCGGTGGGTGAACTTTTATATCGATTTCTTCTTCGTAAAAACTTCGTTATCTGTTGTTCCATTTATTCTACAATCACACTTAATACAATTACAATTTAAATACCGTTTAAATATCACGTACTTTAATCTTGTTGACAGTTTAATTTTTCGGATGATCGATTACCAACGCTGATATAATAAAACATTTGCATTTCTTAAGAAAATTTCTTAATTTCTATATGTATAACTTTTATTTAATTCTATGGATTATTCAAAACTTATTATTTATTATATTTTATATTGATTATTTTTTGTATTTATGAAGAGAAAAATCTAGTCTTTTTTGACTTTATAATTATCAAATAAGTTAGAAATATTTTGAGATAATCTTTGGCTATGGTCAGTCATTGTGTGTGTTTATGTGTATGTGCATGTGCACATTTACATATGAATAAGATAAGAAATAGATTCAATGAATGTGAGATAAGAAATAAATAATGTGTATATATGTGTGAGATAAGAAATAAATTGATTGCACTAATTTTATTTTTGTTATTTTAAATTTAATTATTTATTTGTTCTTTTAATTTATTATTTATTTGTTCTTTTTAATAATTATAATAATTATAATTATTTTGTAATTAAACTTTCATCTGATGATGAAATGTTACACATTAAATAATAATTATACGTAATTAATTTAATTAATATGAAGAAAGAATGCAAAACAATTAATCATTATTCCAAATATACTATTAGCAAAAAGACAAAAAAATAAATAGAATAAGTATCATCATGCTTTTATAATATATTACATGCAATCGAGAATTAATTTCCGTTATTTGGGATATTTTTAACTCTTTGTGTGTCTTTGATGTTAATTTTAACCATAAATAATATAGTTATATACTCTTATATTGTGCGCACTTATCTACACAATATATGCTTTGTCACGATACAATTATATCGCGCATATTCGTGAAGTGTTTTCTTTAGTATTTAATATAAATCATAATAGAAAATATATCAATTATTAATAGAAATAAAATATTATAGTACAATATAATGCTGAAGTTATATATCGTGACAATTTATATAAATATTTAAATTTATATAAATCTTGATTATAAGATGTTAACTATTTATTAATCAAATAGAAATATTAAACTAATAAAGTTAATTAAATTAAATTAATGTTACATTACTTTTAGCTTTTCTAATTTATTTATGTTGTTTTAATCATAATTTTGTGACGCGTTGTTCATATTTTGAATTATCTATTATTAATTATTTTTAATAACAAAATATTGTGTAAAATTTAATATTAGCTATAAATAATAGGAACAAATTAGAATATTTATTTATTGCATACGGTTGACAAACTGAGTATATTAATAAACCGTAAACAAATGAACAAGCAAACAAGTTTTGAATGTCTGTTCCTGAACTTGCACAACGATAGCATTATCAGTAATCGATCGTGAATGATGTTCCTATTTTCAGTACTGCTATTATTATCTCGTAACGCTTCAATAAGAGGTTCTTTATAAATATGTATTATATGTTTCTATCGGGGATAGGTGAAATTAAATGAGAAATATTTGTAGGCGATAAACACACCGCTTGTGCACGTGTCGTGTTTTGTTTGTCTCATATGAATTATATAACCACACGCGAGCGAAATCGATGTAAAAATTCATTGATGATAAAATGAAATTGCACAAGTTAGAGCAATAAGCCTTGTATCTAGAAAAAAGTTATCTATTTAGTAAGAATTTCAGATAATTTATATAATATTTTACTAATCTTTACATTTTTATTTTTATTAAAATTTTAAGATTTTTTTACATTAGAAATTATTATGAAAAATAATTTTATTATTATTTATGAATAAAAAAAAAAAAAAAAAACTCGCACAATTAATAAAATATAATGAATCATTTTTCTAATTTTGTACAGTAAAATTAAATAAAAGTTTTTTAAAACATATTAATTGTATTACAATACAAAGATATAAATAGATATTTTCTTATATTTGATATAAATTATGCATAAAGTAAATGAAAAATGATAAATTAAACAAGTTTTTGATGCTATAATTAAAATTTTAAATTAATATAAATTGCTTAATAAATCGATAGAGCTATTTGAGAATCTTTTACAGACAGTATGTTATGTCGTAACATGATATTACCTGCCATCATTGTGTCTATGTATAAAAGCAGGGAAGTATTAGTTACAGAAAACAGATCTGGCCTAATCGGCTAGCTATCAACTTCTATTGTGATGCAAGCACAAGATTGTAGATTCGATGTATTCGTGTGTGAAAAGTGCGCATGCATGATATTTTTTTTATTTTTATTGCCCTTTGCTAAATAATGCAGGATAAATTAGTTGCGTTAAAAATAAACGCACGCGCGTATTTATATCAAACGTATTAATTAAACGATGATATTGGAAATTAATTCATATGAAAAGATATGGAAAGACTAAAAAGAGAAAAAACGAAAAGAATGCTGGCTGATTAAGAGAAAATCACTTCTGCCTTTTGTTACTCGTGTGTGTCAAAGCAGAGATATATTCTTGTGTCTATTTGTTAAAATAATTTCGCAAACATAATTTATATAATAAAATCGCTGCAGTTTTCACTGTGTTCATGCATCGAATAATGAACGAAAAATGCATGATTTTTCAGATCATGAAATCGATTATTATAGCAACGATATGATTGCGCTTCATCATGATTTCGTAATGAATATTAAACGGAATTTGGATGAAAGTTGACGGAGTTGAAAGGCAGATTACGTGATTAAAGACTGTAGTTATAAAGCAATGATGAAATAAAAATTTTGCTGACAAAGGTTTGTCAATTGTAATTCATAATTCACTGTTGAAAGTTGATAAATTATATAATGCCTCTTGAAAACTGACAATAATATAATTATTAAAATAATATAATAATTTGGGATTTGAAAAGAAGTTTGATTGCTTTTCTCGCTTTATGTGTTCTATAGAAATGGAGATTTGATGTAAAGTTCCAAATATTAAAAAATGTTTTAATAATAAAAATGAATGATTTTTTGGCGTTGCTTATTTCATATAAAATAAGTGCGCATTAATTAGTAAAAGCTTGTTAATTGGCGATCGTATTTTTTTTTCGAGAAGAGTGCCCCTTTAACCCGGAATGTCCCTTTCTGTTCGCAGGTGTCCGAATGTTCCAAGTCGGAGGGTCCGTCGTTGTCGACCTCCCCGGGTTCCGACTTCCTGACCTCGCCGGCGCATCGATCCGTGCCGTTGACCTCCCGGCATTTTTCAAGGACATCCTCGAGGGCGTCTCAGAGCTCTCTGCAGAGTCCAAGCAAAAGCACGAGTACGTCGCCACCGAAGACCGGCAGCTCGAGTTCCCTAAACAAGTTCCACAACCGACTGGTCGACAAGCTGAAGCGCTCATTGAAGAAAGCGGAGGACTGCGCAGAGGACCAGCGAAATTTATCGTGAAACAGTCAAGGGGTTTTGGGCCGGCCGCCCGTATCCGGCTCGAAACCAATCGAGATCCGACGCACTTCGGCACCCGCTACTACATCCGAGTCGAGTAGCAACGTGGCAGCACGCTCGTGTCCGGATCCGTCTTCAGCTTGGTAGAGAGAAAAGAACACGAGAGAGAGAGAGAAAGAGAGGAAAGAGATCGAAATGAAGGAAGGAAGAGCGAGGAGATCAACTTTCGCCTGTCGTACGAAAGCGACCGCGAAACGAGTTTATCAGCCCAACACGAGCAAGAAGAGGCGCAGCACGATCCTCAAGTCGTTATTTTCGACAGTCGATCGTGTGAAGGATCCTCACGGGTCAAGAGATACCTCGGATGATGGGAAGAGCGAGCCTCGGTATATGAACGCTCGAGAGGATGAAGAGGGATGTTGATTGCGACGCTTTTAAAACAACTTTGATACGCAAGAAGGGAAGAGTATCGAAGAACGAGAGGATCAGATTGATCCTTTAATACTCCTGGATAAATCGGGAAATTTTTATCGAAAGAGCCGAAAGAGAGGGGAGATAAAGGATGAAGAAGAAAGGGATGAATGTGGAGCATTCGATCGAATCTCTCTCGCAGTAGAGATTTCGCAAGTGAACCGAAGATCAGCGTTTGAAGGATAATCGTTGGAGCAGCGGCAGCGCTAACGAAGTAAGGTATACAACAAACATGTCTATGTATCGAGATATTGCGCGTCGCGGAATATTTCATATCGAACGTTGCAAGCTCGTGATCGGTTGATTAAAAAAAAGTCATAGTCACTTGTGTTGTCAGACCTAAAAGCTAAGTTCCTTCTTCGCGCACGATTTCGTGCGCATAGCGTTCTATATACATATATGTTGTTCTCTTCCTAAACGTAAAACACAATTAAAGCGAAATCGAAGAAAGAAAGAAAGACATTCAGCGGGCGTGAAGGAGTTTCCGGTTTGATCGGTCGACCGCACATATAATATATATCTGTGCAGATAATATCTAAGAGATATAAGCAAAGATATCGAAAAGAGATGCTTCGATCTTTTAAACAAATGTTTGTGAGAACACCGTTTCTTGTAAAACAATATTCTTCTAAATGTTCTTATCTTGCAGACGTCTTTCAAGTATCTTTTAGATATCTGTTAAGGACCGATGTGCGCTTTTGATTTCTTCGACAAATTTATTACTTCGTGTTAATTAATATAATGGAAGCAGAACATAAAAATCTCCATTTTAAATATATCCAGTTAACTTTCTCGCAACCTAGACTGAAGAAACGTCCTCTAATCAGTACGTCATGCAAAAACCGTTTTAAGAATAGAAGCTCGTATTCTCAGTGCGCCAAAAATATGGAGCTCTGTCCAATTGTGAGTACGTAATTTATTTGCTTAATACGACGAGGAATATTTTTTTTCACGATGTATAATGGGGACAGAGTTGAACGCGCGATGAGAATAGGGGTCAAAAAATATAAAGGGAGAAAGAGTAGTAGCGTGAAAAGAATCGTGAATATTCTTGTTTTTATCGTGATATCCAGCTGAGAACAATAGTGAGGCTCGCCTGTTGTTCGAATTCAGAATCGAGTTTACGTGCCGGAAGTAGCAGTTTCTCGCCTTTACGAGATATCAGGGTCGTGCAGGAAAAAAAGAGTCATGCATATATGTGTGTAAGGTAGTTCAAAGACACGAAATTAAACTTGCAAACACACGCGTTATACCTTTCGAATTAAATCACGAACGAACGGAGCCTAAAAAAAGCGCTTATTTTCACGTATATGTAACATCCCGCTATTCGACGTCACGCAAAATTAGTTATTAGTATACTTAGTATTTGCATAAGCATATTCGTCCTTTAGGGATTAGTTTCTCTCGTGCTCCCCTCTTTATATCAGAAAATCTCCGCCGAAAATCGCGCCGAAATATCGCGAATTGCAAAGTGTTTTTATGCCAAGAATGGCTAATGCATCAATATACGAAAAAAAAAAAAAATAACTTGGTCTAATATGAATTTTATTCCATGAAAAGACCTCAAATATATTCTAAAATAAATTTTTTCGGAGTTATTTATTTTTAGAAGTAGTATAAATTTTCCGCGAGTTTTTTTTTCAAGAAAATAAGACACGTATTTAAATTTATTTTAAACTTGTAATTATTGACGTCTTATTAAACGATATTGTTAATTGCTCGCTCTTTTGTAGCGTATGTATGATAATATAGTACGCTAATATACGCGTTGGAGAGTCTATGTAGGGAAGCATGATAGATACATCCGGTACCATTAAAGATTAAAGCATTCTGCGGTATATAACATGCGAAAGGCGCGATATCGTTCCGGAGATTTCCTCCAAATCGCGACGCTCGCGCGCGCGAAACCGGACGAAGATATTTTCTTAAATGAATCGCATTTGTCACACATCATCGAAGATGTAACAACGTATCTCCCGAGGTTTCTCTCTACCTCGCGCACGAGTTATATATATATATTTGTATTTGTTGTTTCGCGTCGTCGCTCTACAAGCGCTTGTTAATTTTTTCATGTAATATATATACATATATAGTGTATTATTTCGTTACGATTGTCGAGTCGGTTATGGGCAGAAAAAGATGCGGGAAGGGGATTTTGTGTCCTTGCATCGAGAATCGCACGTGTTGCAAAGGACGTCGAGTTTTACAAGGAAAGAGCAGCTCTTTCATGAAAATATATTTGGTCCCTTTTTTTCTGTATTGATTAATTTAATAGAAGAAAATATTTTCTCTTAAGCATACAGTTTAACATTATGATTATTAAATGTACAATCCAATTTTCTATAATTTGCAGAAATAATTTGATGTTGCTTTCTAAATCGTACAACTCGCTACGATATGAAAAGGAGAGAAATGTTTATTTAATTGATGTGCGTGTCAGTAATGAGCGTGTAATTTTTTTTTTCTGTTATACTGACATGAAACCGTTAAATGATGGTTTAACATATTGGTAATAATTATTTTGTGATAAATAAAAATTAAACTGTTAAATTCCCAAATGAGTAAAAAAAAAACAAATTCAAAATAAATGTTTAATTAGAAATACGATAATATTACAAGATAAAATTATTAGAAAAATATATAAGTTTTAATTAAAGCGCGTAGCGATTTTTTAAATAAAATTCGATAAAATGCTCATTCTTATAAAACTCGATTCTTTGCGTCCATTTAAAGTTATTCTGGTTTAAAGGATATATTTAGCGCGCTTTCTTTCTATCGGTTGCGTATATCGGAGATTACGAACTGGGAGCAATTAAGCGATGCCGCACGTAATTCTGTGATACCGTATAAGCTATAAGGTAGAATTACTCTGCAACGATTAACGGATTAGAGAGAGGCGATTATGGTGAGATATTAAAGTTAGGACGAAATTCGTAAGAACGCTTCGATTCTTCGTCGATCGCAAAACTCGCGTTACTCGAAAACCGACATGACAAATTTCTTCTTGATTCGGCTAAATAATAATACGAGCAGGGAGCTCTAGTAATTTTTTTCTCTGCAAAGAGAAAGAACAACGCTGCTTTCAAAATTTTTCGAGAAAGATAATAAAAAATTCTGGCGCACGAGCATTTGAAGTCGTTTACGTCCGTCTTAACGTGTATATAAATATTAAGAGTCTGAAAAAAAAAACATTCCGAAAGCGTCCATCGATTATTTCGAGAGAAAACAGTACAACGAAAGCTATTTATTTTTGAGTGATAATGGCAAATAGTTTTTGAAAATATAACTTAGATGCTGATCCAATCCGATTGAATATCTATTACTACAGGAAATAATTTTTTTTCGAGTTTAATGTATTATAATTGCAAAAATGAATTAATATACGTCGATTTACGCTTTCGGATTCACATCAGATTTAAGAGAAAGCTTAGTTGATAGATATCGTGCGGAAAATTTTGAAAATTTACGTAGCTCAACCTGCATTTCTCTCTTCTTCGGGTGCAGATGGCAGGGGAACGAAGAAAGGAGAAGAAAGGAGAAAGAAAGCGAGAGACACAGAAAAAAACCACAAGAAAGAGAGACAGGATTGTTTGCGAACATCGGGGTTAATGTGTGATCAAACAATGATTCGGAAATCATCATTTTATATATCGAGATACCGGATAATTTCCAAAAGTTGCCGCTTTATGTAAGACTGCTTTAGTGAAACAAAAAAAACAGAAACAAAAAGTATAAGTATCGATATAAGACAATTTAGGGCATCGTGGTGCTGAACGGAACATTGGGACACGCGATATTCGATGGACTATTAAAAATTTTATTCACGGTAGAACATTGGAAATATATTTCATTCATCGAAAATAAATTTTGTATATAAAATATATACTGTCTAGAGTGTTTCATAATGTCATGTTTTCGCACAACAAATTGAAAAAGTTACTATTTTTAGATCGAAAGTTTCTTTTGACATTTGAATTTATACTGTCATGAATTTTGATAATTAATTATAATTAAACTGCATTATATAACCTTTGGATATACAAGCGTTAGATGTGGATTTTTATTCTCCTTTTATCTCTATTCACATTTAGTATATGATATATCTTTCACGGTACTGCCATTAGTGCGAATTCTGGACATCACGACCCAACTCGTGCGCGTGTCCCAAGATTTCGCCAATTGATTCGTACTGATTAGAAAAATGGTGTTATTAGAATTTAGACATTGACGAGATACAATACGATCTATTTATTATTATGGCGGCCTCGGACCGCGGAGTAAACGTGGATTGGGATTTTTTGTTCTCAATAAGATTGTCAAATTTCTCAACGAGATTTTAAATTTCACATTTAAATGTCTGTTGCATTGATCTGGATCTTTTTTCCTAAGAATATGAATAAGTCAAGAGAGAAATACATATATTTCCGTTTAATTATTGCGTACTATTTCTCGATCCACTTTCATTCTACGGTCGCAACACGATTGCAAAGCTATGTACATACACATGCAGATATATATATATATATACATATATGTATAATTTAAAAAAATATATATATGTATGCATACATATGCACGCGTAATATATGTACATATTATTTATTACGCGACGACTTGACTATTTTTTGTATTATTACTACTGTTTTATGGTTATTTGTTATACCTCACTCGGGACATTTTGAGCGGATTTTAGCGCGTGTTTGAGGAGAAGCGCCGGGACTTTTGCGAATTTCTACAGCGGAAATAATTTTTTTTCGCGTCTCTTCTTTTTCTGTGGCTATTTTAGATTACGCTTTTAGACATAGAATATTAATAAATCGCATAAGGAAATTATAATCACTACTCTCAATAATGCACAATGAGAATATGACTACGAAAAAACTATTAATTCATTTTATCTTCGTTAATGAAGATAGATTTGGATTTATTTCTAAAATATTTCCTCACCAAAGTACTCATTTAGGCTCAACGAAAAAAAGATTTAGCTTGCAAAAGTTGTACTTGTTGGACGAAGCCCAACATCGTCGTCGATTGCTCAAGTACTTTCTCCTCACTCACGACGATTGAATATCACTGCCAAAAGCCCAAGATTATAATAAAGTAACAAAAAAAAGTAGCGTAGCGGCGTGGGACCCAATTTCGGGCCCCATATTTCATGTGACGGCGCGTTCGGTCGCGTCGTCTCTCTCATCTGTTCTGCCCTTTATTCACACATAATGCATTGTCTCTCCAATTTATATATGAACATATATATTTATTTTTCGACGGATAGCGACTTACGTTGTTAAAAGAATCCGTACCGTTCGCTATTTTTCGTGTGACTTTTAGCGCCGATGACGATACCAAATTCTGGCCAGTGATTAGAATTGTGATTAAAAAATTTATATTTTTTTTACTCCGAGTCTTTTTCTCTGCAATATATAGAAAAAGATTGTAAAATAGGATAAACAGCAACAAAGAGGTAATGAGTTTTAAAAACATCAAATTAAGAAGCCATCATGGTTCTGACATTTTTTTCAAGTAAAATGTCGGAACAAAATATTCGTGCAATAAGCTTTTATAAATGCTTGAAATGCTTACAGAATACCAAATTATAATAGCGACGGACGCTGCAATGCTTGACTTATATACTTTTATAAGTACATTTTATGCATAAATCGATAAAATTAAAAATCTCACTTATTGATACAAAATCCTATTTATTCGTTCTTTTTATTATGCTGTTTTGCGAGTTTTTTTTTATAGAATATTTATTCCTGTGTGTTTATATCTGTTATTATGCTCATGTCCATAATTATCCTGTTTGTCATACGTGATAATGCAGTGTAATTATGTACGCGATTTGCATTTTTATGTGATGATTCACTATAAGGGAAGTATTGGCATAAAATCGAGATTCAGTTTCACTTTCGCAAAGATGAAGGCAAGTTACCGTATCGTCGTCGAGATCGCTAATTATCCGAGAATTTCGTAGTCGAAGAGAGATGGAAGCGAAAGCGAAACGGTGGGCGCACATTCCATGTGTAACGATTATACATACGTATATTAAAGTAATCATCTGTTAGAGTTTGATAGGGAATTCATACAAACACACATGTACACACGGGCGTGCGAGATATTACATTGGAAGATTATAAATGAACAATATATCTGAAGTTTTCGAAGCTTACATAATAGACTTCGGTTTATCATTATTATGTATCGTGATTTTTATGTCATGTTCAATAAATGAGTTTTAAACTGCTTATATTTGTCTACCTATCTCCTTCTCCCTAAAATTATTCGCGCCAATAATTATATATAAGATAAGATATTGAAATATGTAAGTATGCATAGTATATAAAATATTTACGATATTATGACGAAAATAAAGAGAAGAGATATTTCGAAATATGTTTATATAATAGCGACAAGTTTTTGATTTTTTTTGCAGCAAATCTCAAAATTTTCGTAAAAATAAGAAACACTAACAATAAGTAAAAAATAAAGGACAAAATAAAAAAAAAGACAAAATTAAGTTTTGAGAAAATGCATAAAACTAAAAGACAGCTAATTGAACAAAAGGACTCTTCTCTGAAATAAAGGATGATCACTATTAAAATACGGAAAAATGTTTCAGATCATATTCTTCAAGATATTTGCCTGCGATATTTAAAATGGGACACCCTGTATATATGCACGTATATATAGAGTTTTACAATAATAAAATAACACAATATATAATCTTTATAAGAACAAAAAATGGAAAATATTTACTGATTAGTTTGCGTATTTTTTGTAATTTTTGGAATTATGATAGATGACTTTATTTTTTTAACGTTAAAGAATATAAACCATGATTTGCTTTATGCAAAACGATGAAGCAATAGCAAGGAAGTAATAAACTCAATAACCGTGACTGATTCATTGAAGAAATAATCTACATAGGATGAATCATTATATTGATGGTATCATTAAAACAAAATTTTTTGCCTTTCAGAAGTAACAAAGTTCAAATGAGATAATAATAACTTTTCTATGACATCAATATATATAAAAGATACAATTGATATGATTTTATATATATGAATCTCAAAATGTACAAAAAAATTTTTTTAATAAGAGAGGATTACTTGTACTGTTATAATTTTATTTAATACTAATATCAGTATCAAATAAAATTATAACAATACAAGTAATCTTCTCTTACTAAAAAATTATTTTTTGTACATTTTGAAAAATTCATGACAGTCTTTTTTTAATTAGAATGCAATTTTCTTATACACATAAGATAAATTAAGATAGCATGTGCTTTGAACTTAATGTGTAACTATAAACTGTTGTGATATACTATACTAATAAATTAGAAATAACTATGCACTTATAGAGATTTACTTATGATTTACGAAGTCTGTGTTATCTTATTAATAATTTCGCTTGCGTGATACTTAACCAAAAATTCGCGCTACGTATCTAAAGCTCAGAAATTTAACTATTGCGATATGTGAGCTTTTACGCGGATGGGAGAACTACTGACAAATTTATTAGCACTAAAAACTAGCTTAGCACTTTACTTTGACTACTTTAAAATATAGCTTTTAAACCATGTCTATATATGCGTACGCATTATTCATAATAGTAGTCATCAATATAGATAGTTATCAATTTTTGTTTGTATAGTTTCTAGGTCAAGGAGAGTACAAGTGCTTTTTGTGCTTCTTTTATAATATATATATATATATATATATATATATATATATGAGATGCTGGAAAGATTGCGACATTAGATGCAAAACTCTCCAATGAAAATAAAGTTTTGTGCTAGAAAAATAAGAAAAAGTACAAGATATCTTTTCGTATAAAAGCGTATGAAAATGTCTTAATTTTAATTATTTTAGATTTTTATATTGCTATCTAAAATTTTTCATTTTCTAATGATATAAAAGATTTCTATTCTGTATTTTTTCCAAAATATTATATGCGAAAATTTAATATCTCAATAATAAAATAATATAATTTGATTACAGTAAGCGAAATTTTATAGAATAATTTTATGTTCGTCTTATATTACTGATTTCAAAATTTCTTTTTAAATAGTTTTATTAAACTGTAGTAATAAAAATGGATAACATATAATAATATTTTAAAATTAATTTCAAATAAACTTTAATAAAATAATTAATTCAATTAAAAAAGTATATAATATTTGAAAATTAAATAAATTCAGTAAATTATAATTTTTTACATTAAAAAAAATTTACCTTTGAACAAAAACGATTAAAAAGATGTCTGGTATCTTGTGCTCTTCTTTTATAATCATCAATGATTCTTTATTATGATTGTATTGATTCAATTGCATCTATTCGAGATAGCGCAAAGTTATTGCGCAGGTTGGATTAGAAAAGGAAAAAATGCATACGACATCATAAGCGCGACGCAACGAATATGGACACGTCAGACATCGTATTGCAGAACGTCAGGTAACTTCCGACGCTTTTATATTGCGAAACAAGAACAGTAACGATAATTTCTTATCATTATAAACAGCACATTCTTCGCAGCACAATGCGCAAACACGTGAACGTTTCTGTTATCGTCGTGTATAGCCAGCCTCGTAACTTCGCATTACTGGTGATGAAGCACAAAGTGCAATGCGATAGAAATATCTGGATATCTGATCGAAATTGCTCGGTTATCAATGATGATGCAATTTATTGTTGTTTTGAATCAAGTTCGTAAAGAAGTGCTAGGAACCATTTAGTATTAATTTGCGACGCGTTGCAAAATATCGAATGTCTCTTGTGTGAATATGATGCGCTTGTGTCTATCACGTTGCGAAACAATGACTTACATCACATTTACACACACTATGTATAAATAAAATGTGTAACAGGTACGAACAATAATTTATATAAATCACGTATAATAAGAATAATAATAATTTATATGAGCATTTATATGTGTTGCGCAACGAAATTTTCAAATATTGAATTTTAAGTATTAAGTTTCAAGTATAAAAAGAGCAGATTTTTAAAATTTAAAATTATTTTTATTAATATAGTAAATTTATTTATTTTATTAATAATTATTTTTATTCATGGTAAGATGAACCGATAATCGAAAATATGTGATATTTGATATCGAAAATATTGAAAACTTAGAATTATAAATGTGTGTAGTATTCTTATCAAACTTTTGTTAAAAGAGAAAGCAAGTCAAATTTTTCATAGAATTTTATAAACGTATCGTGATATCACATACAGGTATTAATCATTTATTTTTTGAATAAATATGTTATTTTTTAGGATAGAAATTATCAATATATATTTTTATAATTTTTAAATTATGTATTATATAAAAATATTCAATTATATATAAATTGCTACGTAATTTCACGAATATTTTTACTTAAATATTTTTATTTAAATTAATCGTAATTTCACGAATATTTTTACTTAAATTTTTTCGCGTAGATTCTACTTCTTATATGTAGAAAAAATTCTAGAAAAAAATTCTAATTATGTCAGTGCACGTTTTATTTTACACACCGTATTTTACAGTTAATGCACGTATTTCATTGCCGTTGCATGCATAGAATTGATTTTTATGGCAACGGTTTTTTTTCGAATGGAGATTTCCATCGTAAAAGGACTGGTGCCTATAATATGTTGTTGTCTGAATTATTAGTGTGAAATCTGCGTCTGCAAAAATAGATGCGTGTACATATATGCATTCCCGATGAATAAGGAAAAGGCAAAAAAGATGTAGAGCTAGCACGTGCGTGTTTACGACTTTACAACAAGGAATTGCATCAATTGATTGTGTGAAAACCCGCAATAGTAAGTTTCTCAGAATAAAACAGTTAATCAATTGATACGAATTAAAGTCTTTTTTTAAATAAATCATGTATGCCTGCATGTGTAAATAAATCAATAATAAAACAATATATAATTTTGGTACTAATTATACGCGCATTAACGTACAAAATTGATTAATAAAGCTTTTTCTAAAAATTGTAAAATTTTTGCGTCTAGATTTAAAAATTATATATTTATATTATTAAATATGAAAACACTAGTTTTCAGTTATATTATTCGTCAATAATTCTTAATAGTTCTTAAAATTAATGAAATAAAATTGAAAGTCGAATTATAAGTAGTTCTAAAGCAACATTAAGTAATGTGTCATTATTGACACTATTAACAACTTATTATTCATTAGTTAATAATTCATTATTGATGCATCAGGTTTATTTAAAAAACAATTTAAAAAATTTTTTTAAAGATCAGTAATTATAGTTTATTTCGAACTGAGCAGAAAAAGGACAAATCTATTGATTGTGGATCTAATTAAATTAATAGAAAAAAATTTAATAAAAAAATCTGAATTTATCTTTCAGAAAGAATAAGGAAATCCATCGCTAACAGCTGCGTTGATTATTCGCTAATTTCGAGTAGGTAAGCATTTCCCCGGAGATTACATCTGTTGGATGGCTTGTAGGAAATTCATCAAGGTGTACGAACGTTCCGACGCCTACATCTACTTATCTCATTCGCGAGCTGTTCATTCAGTGCATACAGCCCCCACATCTGGCATATATCATATCGCGAATTAATACCTACACAATCAAATGCGTGACGTCCTCTCTATCCCACACTCATTTCTTGCTACATACCGATACTTCTTCCTCTACATCCTTCGTGCAGACGTAGTATACTAATTAAGCACATCATAAATGCTGTAACTAATTTGCTATATTTTCTAAGGCACTTTCTCTCTGTGTCATATTATATTTGTAAATACGAGATATTTTTTTATATTTAACAGTATTAATTTTTTTTAAGTAATGATATAATATACAATTTCGTAGTGCATTTAATGAAATCATAATACAGGGACATGTGATGGGAAAAATATTGGTCGATTGGTAGCTGTGATAGATAATCTTGACTCAAGTTATTTTCTTGATCTCAAAATATGTGTTTTCAAAGAAATGCAAGGTCAGCCTTGGTGAAAAAGTGTCCCTGACTGGAGACTATATTCAAGTTATGACTATCATAATTGCAGTAATCATTATAAAGGACATCGTAATAAATCTTGTGATTTTGCCATAAAAAGAAAGGATAGAAGAAAACATGAAATTATATCTGGTTAATCTGGGTATTTTGCATTTCCTCGTAAATGTACATGATTCAAATTAATTTTGTGTATCATATGTGAAAAATATATTTTAATTTATGTAATATATGTATAAATATATTATTAATTCATGTGTATTTATAAATGTGTATAACATTATTGTTATATTATTTATTATAAAATAAAAATTATTTATTCGTTAATAAAAATATCAAAGAAATTGTTTATGATAGGTTAAAAATAGATAATTGTAATTGTTTTCCTTGTTTTTGAGCTAATTTTAAACGTTGACAAAGACTTTAAGATATTTAATTTTAAAGTTTACAGAATTGTAAAAAAATGTAGCAATGAAAATTTTAGAAGCAGATAAATTATATATGTTTTCGAAAATATTCTCTAATTATCTTAGTTATTGTTGAAAATAGATACTGTATGATTTATTTGCTACTAAAATTTAATTGTGCTACATTTTTTTGTAGTTCTGAAAGTTTTAAATTAACTGTCTAACTAAATTAGTTGGAGAACATGATTTACAGAACTACAATTATGTATTTTTAATAACTATTTGGGTAACAATACTTTGATTAAGAAATAAATAAGAAATAAATATATAATTTCTTAATTGAGTATGAGTTAAGTTAGTTAATTATAGAGAAGATTGGACTAAAGATATTAATAACTTTTCAATTTAAATTTCATATTGATTCAATAATCAGATTATGGAAATATCAACAAAATATCAAATATCAAATCGAATAAATGAAATAAAAATTATTTAAAAGTTACATGTTTATTAATAAATTTTAATCAATTTTACGGAAGATTTTTTCTGTATTTTTATATTCTAATAAAATTTTTGTATAAACATTATTAATTTTACATTATTTATTTTATATTTTACTGTTTATTTTTGCTAGATTTTAAAAACTTTTTTTGACTGAAAAAGCTTGTCGATGAAAAAAAAAGAAAAAAACTTTCTAGTTTACTTCCAGTTTCTATTTATTCGCGTTTTTAATTTCTTAGCTCACTCTCGCGTAGTTCAAATTATATGCATCGGATGCACCGACTGTGAATGTGTGCAATCCAGTAATTTAAAAGAGATACTCAGGTCGGTGGACTTTCTGACAATGAGTGGCGCGAAACAGGGGCGCCGATCAATACATTTGTACGCTGTTACTATTTTTGAATCGTTGTGGAATTATACAATATAATTCATAGTGACTATCGTTTATAATTCGCGCATTAAATTGATTAATTCGCGCGAAAGGGATGAGTATGCGCGTAAATTGAGATCGACTGTACACACTAGGATAATTTCATCCTGCGTAGGAAGATATAAACGAGTTTTGTAATATGATTCATGCTTTGCAGCCGTTAATTAATTTAATGCGTAAGCATTAGCGCTTTGTGAGCTCTTGAATAACATACATCTACTAATATATTATACCGTGATAAAATTTATCATTCAATGCATAAATATTCTTTTTGTATGCTATTTGTGTCCAAAAAGTTTTGAGAATAAATTTATCGTAGATACAGATCAAGAAAGTTTTGGGTATTACTGAAGGGAGAGCTTTGTCCTCTCGTGCGGATTATGTCAAAACTTTACAATATTGTGTATTTTTGTACATAAAACACGAAACTGTAAATTAAAAAATTGTCGCTGAATTTTAATTAGATTCATGTTTCATGCACAAAAATTCACAATATTATAAAGTTTTGGTAAAATTATTACCCAAAATTTTAGTAAAAATTAATAGGACTCACCGATACGATGCACAGTAGTTGGAGTTGTAAACTGTAAAATATAAATACATAGAGATGATATAAAATAAAATTCAAAATAATTGATATTTTGAAAAATAAAATTATAATTTACATTAACTTTAATAATGAAAATATTAATAATAAATAATAAATAAATTTCTCACCATATATGTAGTTGCTCCGCCGTTGCCCGATGTCACTCCTAACCTTCTTTCTTCCTTTTTTTTCTTTGCTCCTTCTTATTATTCTCTCGTGTAAACTGTAAGTTGTAAAATATAAATCGAAATTATGAATAGTGGAATTTAAAATAATTTTTATTTCGAAAAATAAAATTAATAAAATTAATTAAACTTAAATGAAGAATTATTAAATAAATAATATAGTAAAATAAATAATAATATAAGTAAATTACCACATAATAATTGTTTTGTCTTAGCCGATTCTCGTAAACTTGCATACTTTTGACGTCTTTGTATACATATATGTATAAATCCGTGGTCTCAACTCTCGACTTGAAGCTGCAACTTCACTTCACTCTTTCGGAGGAACGAAACGTTGAGCGAGATTCGCGGCCGACGAGGTTAATTTCGTGATCGGATTTATATACGATAATTTAATTAACGACATTAATTAATACTCACATTTACTTTCGCGGACCGATCGGCGACGAGCGCGAACAATCGAAAGTGAACCAGACAGCAGCAACATGCCTCAACATGATACCGCCGATTTGGGACTTGGGACACGCACTTCAAGTGGTGGGGATACGGGAGATGAGATACCGAACTGGCATGCAGCGCCCTCTACCACGTACGTGCCGAAACTGGCATCAGCGAGCAGCAACATCTCTAGATGGTGTTCATAAATAAACTTTTACCTAGCGCGAAGCGCTCGACCAATCAGGACAGAGGGATCTCACCTCCGATTGGTCGCCGCAGAATTTGACCGACCAATCAGAGACGTAGGTGAATATATTTCCATACAATCTAGAACGCTGCTGCTCTCTGCACTCTCGATTATTCGTGATCCCGCGCTCATCTCATTGTCGATCCGCGAAAGTAGGAGTGTGAATATTAATTAGTATCGTTAATTATCGGTATAAATCCGGTCGCGTTCTGACATCGTAATCGCGATCGAACGCGTGAAATTTATGTCGAATCTCGCTTGACGTTTCGTTCCTCCGAAAGCGCGTAAAATTGCGGCCCAAGTCGAGAGTCGGGAAGTTTTCGCGCGATTTTCGCGATTTCGTTGTCGTCAAATATTCGGTGAAATATAAAAGTGTAGGGCTAATTCGGGAGTATCGGCGACTATTTGAGTGCATCGGGGTGGGAGAGTCGCTGCATCGTTGTTCGATAAAACCCTCCGACATTTGGGTCTTGAAAAAAACGGCGAAAACGGAGCATCGATTTTATTCGCGCGCGATTTGCCGAAACGCGTCGAAAATTGTGATAATTAAAATCCGGACGTCGCCGCGTCGCGAACGAAAAAAAGTAACACGAGTGCAAATGTTTCGAAGTGCAAGTGCATCTTCTACGAAGATGAGGCCCGGGGCGGCATCGGGCAAAGACGGAACAACTATTTTGGTGAGTAATTTATTTATTATTTATTTTATTTTATATATTATTATTTATTTAATAATTCGTTATTTAAGTTTAATTAATTTAATTTATTTTGTTTTTCTTCGAAATATCAATTAAAATAATTGATAATTAAATTAATTAAATTTTCTTAATTTTCGCAATAACATTGCGTTTGGCTCTATTGGCCGAGATGGATGTATATATTATTATTTCGAGAGCTGACTAAGTATTCTTAATAAATTAATTAAACTTAAATTAAAAATTTGAGTTGATATTTCGAAATATTAATTATTTTCACTACAGTTTTGATTTATATTTTACAACTTACAGTTTACACAAGGCACCAAGGAGGAGCGAAGGAAAAAGAGAGGAAGAAAGGAGGCCAGGAGTGACATTGGCGGAGCAACTATATGGTGAAGAATTTTTTTATTTATTTTTAGTAGATTATTACTATTATTTATTTTATTATGCTATTATTTTGTAATAATTTTATTCTTTGATTTATCAATTATTATTTTAAATTTCACTAATATAAATTCATATATTTATATTTTACAGCTCCGCTGCCGCGCATCATATCGGTGAGTCTAATCAATTTTTACTTTAATGTTGTGAAGATCCTCACACCATCCATTTTCAATGTGTACAAAGTTTCGTATTTAAAAGTTGACGAATTTCTGTCAACCAGATAAATATATATAATTATCAATAAAATTCTGTAAATATTGATTAATATAATGATATATATATTTGCTAAGAAAATTTAATGGAATTAATTGACAATGATGATTTATCGATCAAAGAAGCTTGCGGTACTCAATTATCTCATTAACCCATAGGTCGAAAAATATTTCATAAGTTTTTCACTGTCTGCTTATAATCAGAACTCGAACGTTACATTGCGCTTTTTCTTGATCTTTCTTTGGCGCGCGTCGACAATTATCTCATTGTAATACATTGCATCGTACATTATACGTATTTATGTCTTCGAGTTATCATTAGAGTTTATCACATACTGCATATTTATAATGTGAAGGAAAAATTACGAGGAACAGATAAATAGGAGATAAAATTTATATGGTTAAAATAGGATGTACCAATTTTTTACATGCGATATCTGTTTGACCTACTTTTATTTCATTTTTTCTTTTATTTTTTACAGTGCTGAATATCGTTATTTTTTTATGAATATGATTTTTGAGGGAACTTGATAAATTAAAAATAATTATAAATTTTTTGTAAATTTTTACTTTAAAAGAATTTTTTTCAAATACCAGTGTGTATATATGTATATACACTCGTTTTTGTAAAAGATTCTTTTAAAGTAAAAATATTAAAAATTTATTTATAATTATTTTTAACTTACACGCATAAAAATTTCGAATAATTTAGCAAACAATTTTGCAGTAAAATTCTGATATTTCTGATAATAAGGCTAATATTATTATTACTGAAATTTCGTGCAAATTTCGGGAAAAATACAATATTTGTACTATATAAAATAATTGAAGCAGTAATATTTTAAATCACGAAAATTTCTTATATTAGTAAAAATTAATTTTTATCCAATTGAAATGCGCACGCATTATCATAAATTAGAAATATTATTCTATAAATTTATTAATATTTTTATTATAAAACATTGAGTTCAAAATATTAATTGATTTCAAAAAGGTATTAATGTGTTAACTTTAAGCTGTACATTTTTAAAATCAATTCATATTTTGACTCAATGTGTTATAATAAAATATTAATAAATTTATAGAATAATATTTCTAATTTTTATGATAATGCGTGCGCGTTTCAATTGGATAAAAATTAATTTTTATTAATATGAGAAATTTTCGTGATTTAAACAATTATGCTTCAATTATTTTATATAGTGCAAATGTATTGTATCTTTTCTGAGTACGAAATTTCCGTAATAATAATATTTACTTGATTGTCAGAATTTCATTAAAATATTGTTCGCGAAATTATTTGAAATTTTTATGCGTATATCTGTCGGAAAAGAATCATTAGCAATTTTAATTATTATTATTATCACGCGCCAACGATCTGATCGGTTCTGTAGATGCACACATATTTGCAATTGACAACAATCTGTTTGCTCGTTAGTATCTCTCTTTGCTTTTTATTCAGATTTTCTATCGGATTCTTCTTTAAAGAATTCAAATAAATTGCAAAGAGACTATTGCAATTTCAGTAACAATTATTATAAAAAAATGTGTTATTTTTATATAATAATTTAGACATTATTCATATAGAAAGAGATTAAATATATAAATAAAACAAGTGTATGAATTTTGCCTAACGTTTTCTTCTGTTATTTACGCGGATTTATATATTTAAACTTATATTTGATCTTAATTTGTAAAACAAATTTAATTTATTATAGAATAATTTTATTTAATTTTAATTATTTAATCGAATATAATTTACGATATAAATATAAAATTAAAAATTAAATTAATTAATAGAAATAGAAGTTTTCTTAAATTAACTTTTTGTGTTTTATATTTATCATAGTGTATTATTTTCCACTCTAAGAATGTTTTCGTAGAGTACAATAAATTTTATCTTCTATTTGTGTTTAACGTTTTAGCTTTGAAACACATAAAGATATAAAAGAAAATAAATGTCGCAAAATAAATAGAATAGCGGTATTTTATCTTCCATCAAAGGTTTGCTTTTCGTCAACGAAGTATATAATATTTCAAGTGAAGAAACAAGATTATATATTATAAATATACGTATAGACGGGATGTGCGTCAAAGATTTTTCACAGAGTAATTGACTTTTCTTATACCATATAATTCTCTGGCTATTTATTACGTAGCTTTCATATTATTCGTGAATCAATTGACTAATCAAACAGAAAAGTACATCTATGTATAAAGAGAGAAATATTTTTAATCAACTCTAAAAATTTAAAACAGGTTTAAAAATAAAGCTTAATCCCTATAATAAAGATATTTCTTGTTATTAAGAATATGAATGAAAGATTATAGTAAATATCTTTAATCATTTCATCAATTTTATTTGATGAAATTCGACATAATTAATAAGAAAAATATTAACTGTGCCTGCATCTCTTCTAGTATTATATACATATATCGCATTTTTATTTATCATTTTACTTGTATCATTCTATCGGTATGGATATTCGTAACGTTATACGAATAGAATGTTTCTGAAATAAGACAATTTATTCATTTAATTATTAATTACAATTTCCAATACAGAATCTTATTTTGGAATTCGCAAAGAAGTTTGTATTATATTAAAAAAATAAAAATATATATAAATGATGAGCTTCAAATTGTAAGGAAACATCAAGAAAAAAAATTAAATTAATTAAAATCAGAAAAAGGTGTTATAAGAATAAATTGTTTAAATTATTTTCTAAATCATGAATATTAATTTTCTTCGGTCATTAAAACGAAGCAAAACACTGCCAAGAACTGTTCGTTTACGAACATTTCGAGTGTTTTCCTCTATTATATTTGTTTGTTAATAATATAAAGATTGAACTGGGATGCTTCTATCGCTTTTTTACATATTCTGTATTCCACATAGTATCTTATCTTTATCAATACATAATCAATCAAATACTTAATAAATCAAACCGTTATTGCATCTTGCGCAATGCAAATTTGATTGCTTATTGATATATAATAGTATATTAGCGAATGCGAAGGTAAGCATGTTTAAATACGCGCGTCACCGACTATATTTATAGAGACACACAGCCTTCTCTCTTTGCTACGAAAATACTTAAGCGCTTTTCCTGTTGTGTCCATGCCAGGCGTCACGTTTTTCCTCAGGACTCACGCACTGAATACTCACGCGATGCATTGCATTGCGTTGCAATTATGTATCTGTTTACGTTTTTCCCGGGCTCGTCCAGCCTCTTCTTGATCAGAGATATTGGTGTTACAGAAGATAAAATGTTGCATTGCACCTTCGATTTCTGGTTCATAGCAATTCTCAGATTACTATTTCTACAGACATTTTATGTCGCTTTTATCATCTCTGTATTTACAAAATTTATGTATGCGTAACATGATAAATTTTTCTTTAAAATTTCGTGACTGAAAAGATGATATAATTTTTACTGGGAATTTATTCCTCAATTAATCGAGAATTAATTTTCATACGGATACAATGGATAGATGTAAAAAAATTTTAATACAAATAAAACGCGAAAGTTATAGGAAAACATTCTTTTCTCTGTATTGATCTAAAACTTTTTTACGGAATTGATTAACGTTCGAATTATATTAATGTGAAAGTAATTTCTTGTATTAATTAGTTAAAAAATATAATTTTTTATTAAGAGTATTTTATAACTTTATTTGGAAAACATGAAGTTATTATTACATTTATGAATTTTATTTTAATATTAAATTATTAACAGAGATAATGAATTTCTTTAATAATATCGAAAAATTGTTTGAAGAAGATTGTTTTGTTATTAATGAATTATCTCAAAAATATTTTCAATATAAAACTATCTTCACAAAATTTAAATTTCCAGAGTTGCTTGATTTATTAACATCATATTTTTAGAACGTGTTTTAAATTTATAACTGCGCCATCAAGTAGGCTCAATCTAACAATACATAAGCCGGATTAGAACTGAGACTCGTGTGCCAAGGATACAAAGATTCGATGTAAACAGAATGTGTTTTGCACGAATTCGCGGCACGGATGGGTGCAAAAATAGTTTGTGTTAATCTATTCACTGTCGCGTCTACAAGACGCCACCAAGCCGTCGTCACTAATTACATTCGACACAAACTAACCATAAATGTGATTTAGTCAATGAAACTAAGTTTAAGATCAGTTACTGCGTACATCTTGTGGCTTCGTGATTATGTGATGATGAAGAAACTTAAATTTACATTATAATTATACTTATATAATTAAATATAATATAATTAATTATATTTATTATTTATTAACTTAATTTAATATGTCGTATATCATGCTGGAAAAAAATTTGTTGCATTAACAAAAATTCTGTTCGAAAATGACAGAATTACTGGTTGAATCGACTAGAAATGTGCATTATTTATCAAGCATCTTGTCTACACAACAAATCAGTTGTTTGCGCAAACAAAATAGTTGTTGCACTAAAAGGAATTCTGGTCGATTCAATCAGTAATTCTGTCCATTTTCGAACAGAATTTTTGTTAATGCAACAAAATTTTTTTCCCGTGCAAGTTTGTTTAACTCTCATCGCATATTAATATAATCGTTATATTTAATGATAAAATAATTTTCTTATGAATTTTTTATGTAAATAATGTAACAGTACAAATTTAAATAACTGTAATAAAACGTATATTATATATTATATAAATTAATTTTTGCCTTAGATAATATTTTTAATATCTATCAAGAGTGTGAAAGAGATAAATTCTCTACATCAAAATTCGAACATAATTCATGATTCTTTTACTGAATATTAACATCTGGTGAATTTTTTAGCAGTTCTATTTTTTAGTTCGGATTGTTAGCATACTCAATGACGTACGATACTTTTAGAAACATTGAAGTGTCCAGTGAATTTATGCAACTTTAGATTTT